AAAAAAAAAAACTCAGTTCAGAGAAACCAGTGTGAGAAATAGGACAGTAGTGGTGGCAGGCACATTCTAACAAAGCCATTGTTGGGGGGACAGTTCCCATAATAAACTATTTTGCTCAAGTTTGGATCAGCTGGGTTCTTTCAAAATTATTTATACAATCTTTGAATACCAGGGATATAACAGGTAAATACCAGAATATACTAAGACAGAGATGGACCTTGACTACTAACTACTAGTCAGGATAACTACACAGTGAAATGTGCATTCAGCTCTCTGAGCAATTTCTGAAAGTGAGACTCTTCCTTAAGTTCCAAATGTCAGTTTCATTCTTTTGACTATTAAAAAGAATGATCCAGAATCTTCTACATGGTGACTCTATGTATCTAGTCCTCTGACTATTCTAATATTATGAGGTCATATAATGCTGTATTTTTCAAACTGTGATTAGTGAGGGTCATGAAATCATTTTTTAGTAGGTTCTAACTAACATAAAGGAAAAAAAGAACTAAAAATAATCAGAGTACATTGTACATGAAGGTTAAGTACAGTCTTGTGAATATTTTGTTATAAAAATTTATGTATGTATATGTAGTATTTCGTGTATCTACATACTTACCAGGTGGTGATAAAAAATATTCTTAAAAAAAATTCTTGAGTTATGGTCACGCTTCAAAAGCCACAGATATAATGGCTTTATTATATTTTTATTAATTGTTACACACGGAGTCTCAACAAAATAATTCTTTATTCAGAAGTTAGGTCAATCTTTGAGGCTAGATAACATATAAAGACCATTCTGCTTAGTTGAAAGCAACAATTTCTTATAACAGATCAACAAACTCTGGCAAAATACACTGCCTGGTTGATATTTTAATATATACATGTTGGAGATAAGGATGATGAGACCAAAAGCAGAGCAGTGTTTCTACATACACAGAAGTAGCTTTCAGCTACCCTTGACCTACTGGTTGTGTACATGGTAAGCCCCTATGAGAGCAAATGTCCATTCACAACATGAAATAAAATTAAAGAGGAAGTGAAAGTGAATCTAACTTCAATTAGATAACCTTACAGATTTCACTACTAACTTCCCATAAGGCACATGACCCACATCTGAATTTCTCAGGAAATTCATTAATTGATATAAAGACCTCACTGAACAAATAAAATGAACATACTACTGTATTTTCAGAAAGCAGAAGAATACAAATAAGGGAAAGAGGATCTTTGAGTGTTAAGAAAGTTGCATGTATCTACATAAGAAGGCACAATAAACCCTTAGGAGAATGGTGCTTCCTGTACCAAAAGTAAAACTAGCAACAACTTGGGGCACCTGGGTGGCTCAGATGGTTAAGCGTCTGCCTTTGGCTCAAGTCATGATCCCAGGGTCCCGGGATCGAGCCCCACATCGGGTTCCCTGCTTGGCGGGGAACTGCTTCTCCCTCTCCCTCTACTGTTCCCCCTGCTTGTGCTCTCTCGCTCTATCAAATAAATAAATAAAATCTTTAAAACAAACTAGCAACAACTTATAACTATAGTAATATAAATTACCAAACGTAGGTGGACCAGTCTATAGAAGTTAAGCAACTCTTGACCAGTTACAGCAATATTTCACCAGACAGAAGTCACCCCGTCACCATTGACTACATTATTCCAACAGGACTGGAAGCTAATTCTATTCTCCTTTTTGCATTACCGATCTTCTCTCCAGAGTCCAAAAAAGCACATGGAGCAATACTTGAGAAACCAATTTGGAAAACAGAAGGAAGTCATATGAGTTCTTCAGTGTACAGGGGGCAAATACCAGATCCCACCAAAGAATATCCAGGATTCAAAAGCAATTAACTGTAAGACTAATGACCCATTAAATTTTTTAAAGGACACAAGGAAAATGCCCTGCCTTCTTAACTTTTAATTTTCTTGAAGGACCATAACATATAAATACACAAATCTCTTTTCAAAACTCTCCACTGTTTCCCATTTCAATGTGAATAAAATCCAAATCCTTGCAAGACCTGATGATGTCCTTATGATCTGGACCTACATTTATAATGTTATTTCCTGTCACTTTCCCTCTTACCTACCCTACAATGGCCAGAACAATTATATGAAAAAGTGTTCAACATCATTATTTTTCATGGAAATGCAATTTAAAATTGAGATAATGAGGTAACACTACAAATGCAACAAAATGGACGGACAGTATCAGGTATAGGCAAGGATGATGAACAGCAGCAAACTTCTCACATTTTGAGTAGGAGTATAAATTTCTAAAACCATTTTGGAAAAAGGCTTGGAAGGGGCTACTAAATCTAAACATACATATACCTGATGATACAGCAATCTCATTCCTAGATATAAACCCCAAAGAAATTAGTGCTTACATTTACCAAAAGACGTGTACAAGAACATGCAATGCACTTTTATTTACAATAGCCCTCAAATGGAAGCAACCTAAAAATCCACCAACAGTAGCACAGGTTAATAAATTGTGGTCTATTCAGACAATGGAATACTTCATAGTATTACAAAAGAATGCTACAATGCAAAGTGGATGAATCTCACAGACATAATATTGAGGGAAAGAAGCTGGACACAAAAGTGCACATACTGGATAATTCCATTTACATTAAGGTCAAAACCAGGCAAAAATAATCTGTGGTGATAGAGTAATTGTTTTGTTGGTTTGTTCTAAAATGGAGGTATTAAATGGGAAGATGCATGAAGGAGAATTCTAGGTACTGGAAATGTTCTATACCTTAATCTAGGTATAATCTAGTAGTTATATAAGTGTATCCACATGGATAATTTCAAAAGAGTTGTACATTTAAATTCCATGTAATTTACAGTAAGGTTATATAGAAAATACATATTAAATATACACACATGCACAAACATGCACTATATATATATGTACATATATATATTTATGTATCCATACACATACAAAATGTCTATGAAGTGATAGTAAGTTATAACTCAGTACACTGCTCCCACTCCTCTAGGATTTTGTGGCTCCACGAGGCCATCACTGACTTTATTATTACTTTTACTGACATAAAGAGAAGGGAAGTGAGTACTACCACGGACAGCTGATGGTGAAGTAAGTGCTTACCTTTAACAAAGGGCAGCTGCAAAGGTTGGGAAAGGAGAGTGGAAAATTAACCCCAAGAAGGAAATCCTTGTTTCTCAGATATCTCTGCTGGCTCTCCCCTTCTGGCTCTCCCCAGGAGCGCAGCTGATGGAGCCTGTAGGAGGCTTTCAGAGACAGGAAAAGAGCTAACCATCTGAAACAGACCACAGCAGACATGCTTATTCAGTGCTCCATGGAGGTTTGAGGGTAGTTCAGAGCAGTGAGGAACCTTGTCTTTCATTCATGTGTCTCTTTTGTACATCTTGAGCATTTTAGAAACAGTTCTTTTCTACTTTCAGATAAAGCCATTTCACACTTTTCTTCTATAAATTGTCTTTGGCATGACTTGGTTTGCTACTACGAAAACTAAAATCCTCCATAAAGCTCCACTCAGTGTTAAAGAATATTTAACTCTATCACAAAAATTCTATTATAAAAACATCCTCATATTAGGGAGACAGCCTTTTCTAACAAGATCACTGTTTATTACATCAATACAAAATAATAACGTAAGTGAAAACCATTATTCCAAAGGAAAAGAACACAGAACTAAGTTTCCCAGAATAGTTAAGGCAGGCTAGGCTGCAATCACTACCAAGTAAAGGACTCACTAGCCATTCTCTGCCTGCAGAAGCAAATACAACATAGGAGACTAACTAGAAATTAAGGAGACTTAAAGACCTCTGGTAGCATTTGGGGGTAGAGCCTAAATAATTTTTACTTAAGGTATATCATGAAGCATCATGCAATTATTAAATGATCAAAAGAAAATTATAATTCCCTTATAAAAATTTTTACTCTTAACAAGAAAAAAATAAGGGGCTTGCTAAGATAATACAATATTAAGTATTTAGTTTCACAGTTCAAACTCTCTCCCTGTTTATTCCCAACTGCTCTCTCATCAAATTAAGCAAACTTCTCACCTGGCCAAAAGTCCCTGAAGCATGAGGTTTGCCATTTCTGCTGGAGATACATCAATAAAGCGAAGGAAGGAGAAACAGCTTTCTTCATTAACACCTGGAATATCAAAGGACAAAGTTAAACCCAACACTAAGCCAAGAGATAATAGTCAACTAAAGCTACTAAACTGCTGTCTTTTTATTTAAGAATGAAAAGATATCTAAAGGTTTCAACCCAGCCACTATGATGGAAGTCAGGGTGTCATATTTTTGTACTACAATTGCAAGTGGGAGAGGCAGACCTATGAGATCTGGCATACATGGATCAGAGTGGAGTGGCTCATCAGCTACCTTTGGGCTTTTTGGATCCTTGGCTAATCACCTTTCTCTTTTTATCATGGAAAGAAAAAGAAAAGTATAGAGTTAGAAGATTCTGAAACTTTGCCTTAATACCATGGACAATGCTCAAAGGTAAGCTGCTCCTTTCCCTTAGACTAAGGAGGAAGGAACTAAGTCACATTAATGAAAGTCCAGCATTGTCTCTGTCAAGTTTCAAGGGTGTAAGAAACTCTTAAGAGGCAGGTAAAAAATAAAGATGGAAGGTCAATTAATAATTTTTAATTGCTTCCTGTTATAGCCACAAATCATAGCATCTATAGATGAAGAGAACTAATTTACTTAAAGCTTATCAAGACTTATTAAGATCCAACATGCAGGCAAAACCATTGCTAGTTGAATATCAGTCATTCAGCAAAACAAAGACCATTCTGGTAAACCCTGGCCTAATTTCCTTCCCAAAAATCACAACACTTACTTTTTCTGTGAAAGAGAGACTGCTGGATATAGTCTGGTGCAAATGGAGAAAGAAGAACCCTTAACCACCTGTAAAATCAGTAAATAAAATAAAATAAAATAAATCCAAATATAAAAATACTGGGAACTAGATTAGAGGTCCAAAACTAAAAAGAATCTTTTAGATTTCAAACTGTTTTCTACATTTAAGAGGTCTGTTGCCTTATTACCTGGCAAAAATCGTGGCATAAATGTCAGACAGTACTAAGTAATTAATAGATATAAGAAAATAATACAAGTTCAAAGTTGTCTCATTTCATTTCAGAGAATCACAATACAAAGCTGTAAGTTACCATATACCATATGAAACAAACAGCACTATAGCTCTGGTCTGTTTCCCCCTGCCCATCTAGTTGAGTAATAGTCTGGAGCTATCACACACTATTTTTTTTTTAAATATTTATTTATTTATTTTAGAGAGAGAGAGTGAGAGCAGGGGCCGGGGGAGAGGGAGAGGGAGAGAATCTCCAGCAAACTCCTAGCTGAGAGGACCTGATGTGGGGTTTGATCCCATGACCCTGCGATCATGACCTGAGCTGAGATCAAGAGTTGGACACATAATTGACTGAACCACCCAGGTGCCCCACAGACAAAGAAGTCTTAAAATTAAACCCAAGGGGCGCCTGGGTGGCTCAGTCGTTAAGCGTCTGCCTTCGGCTCAGGTCATGATCCCAGGGTCCTGGGATCGAGCCCCGCATTGGGCTCCCTGCTCTGCGGGAAGCCTGCTTCTCCCTCTCCTACTCCCCCTGCTTGTGTTTCCTCTCTTGCTGTCAAATAAATAAAATCTTTAAAAAAAAATAAACCCAAGAAATATGTCTCAGCTCAGTTTCATTAGGCTAAATATTGTTGATTACTTTGGTAAAGCTGCTTATATTATTTCTCTACAGAAGGAACTTTCTAAACCCATGATTCTCAAATGTTGATGTGCACAAGAATCCTTTGGGAGCTTGTTAAAAAAAATCCAGAAGCCAGGGATAGCCTCATTCCCAAGTGTAGAATGGACCTACACACATTTTCTGAATGGAATTGGTCTCTAGCATATTATATTAACAACCACTTCACCTTTAACCAAATCTGTCACTGCTGATTTTGGCAGGAAGGTAAATTTGATTAATCTGAAATCCAATCAGTTCTCCCACAAGTGCTATTCCAAGTATAAAATAAGCCACAGCAAAACAATTTCAGTACTAAAGCAGAGACATAATGATCTCTCTTGGTACAAGTACATATTTGCACACACATGCACATTTGTCAATCAGAAAAGCAACCAGAAGTGGCTAGAGCTATTAAGGTCATCCAATTAAACCCCGATACTGCACAGATCCCTACCACAACATTCCTCAATAAATAGGTGTCCACCCTATACTTAAATACCTCATTGTTGGGGAACTCAAACACTCTCCACTAAACCCCCAAAATCACTAAGCCACAAAACCCCAAATTACAAAAACACCCTAGAGTGAACAGATATTAATACGTGCTCACCTGTCTCGTGAATGGTTGAAGACCCTGATCTGTCCATGACGGTAGATAAACTTTGAAATCTGGTATGGCTTTAGGGAAATATGAAATGGAGACCAAGTTTCTTGTCGTTCAAATAACTCTGGGTGATTACACACCTAAGAGGAAGGAAAATGACAAGACACCACTGTCACATGCAGACATCACTCTCGGAAATCATGGGGAATCCCAAACCCTGAATGTTTCCTTTTGTGAATGTGTACTTTCTCATTTCATTTCTCTTTAATAGTCTTTATCTGACCAAGGTTAGAGCCTTTTTCTTGAAATGGGTTAATGAGGCAACTCCAAGGCAGCTGACCTAAAATCTTACCTTCCTAAACTGCATGACCAGATTCATGAGGCTGCTGGTGGTGGTCTGTGCTTGCTGGGTAGAACCCATAGAAGACTGCAATAAATCCTCAATAGAAATTTTGTTCTTTAGTGCCTGATATAGAAGCTTCTGTCGGCTGGTCAGTTGGCAATACATCAGAATCTCAATCTAAAAATCAGTAAGGACATTTATATTTTGAAAACCAGTTTCTAAGAGAAATCAGTATCAGCCTAAGAAACACACGCAAGCCAGATTATGACTGAACAGACAATATACATATCTCTAGAAACTCAGTATCTCTATAAGCTTGGGATGTGGCTAATTATCCAGAAAAATATTCTTTTCTTGACGCTCTTCCCTGTCACTCACTTTATATGCTGTCCCTGAGAAATCTCTTCCATTTTCAGTAGCACCAACTGCTATCCATTGCAGTGACTTGCAAAAATATTTTCCCTGCCATTCCCAGCCCCATATTTTCTTTTCTTTTCTTTTCAGATTTTATTTATTTATATTCATGAGAGACAGAAACAGGCAGAGGGAGAAGCAGGCTCCCTGCTGAGCAGGGAGCCCGACGCGAAGCTCAATCCCAGGACCCTGGGATCATGACCTGAGCCAAAGGCAGTTGCTTAACGACTGTGCCACCCAGGCGCCCCTTTTCCTTTTTTTTTTTTTAAGATTTTATTTAATTCCCAGCACAATATTTTCAACTACCCACTATAATGGTACCACTCAGAGAGTCAGTAGGGAAAAAAAAACATCTTTTCTATAATTTACTAAATTGATTAACAAACAGCATTACCATTCACTCAGTTACCCAAAAAGAAATTACAACCAGCTCTGATTTTTCTTTCTTTCTCATGCCCATGTTCTATCATTTCCTAAGTCCCTCAAATCCACCTGGAAATTAACCTCTAATTATCATCCTTTCTGACCACTCTCATTGTCTTACTGCAGACTCTCATCATACCTAATCTAGACTGCTACTATCTGGGGGGGGTCAGGGGGAGTGTCTTCCTGCCTACAGTCTTTACTGGTTCTAAGAAACTTTCCATACTAATAAGGTGATTCCAACTGCTGAAAAAACTTCAATGTACATTTATTGCCTATATTAACATACTAAAAATTCTCTGGTAGGCAGAGAAGGTTTCCCATACTCTAACCAACCCTACTGTCCCAGTCTCCTCATCACCATGTCCTCCTATATACCCTAGCAACAATGCTCTGAGTAATGTTTGCTAGACATGCTGCATATTTGAATGTTGCTCTACCTTTGTTCACCTTGCTCTTGTTGCCTAGCATCTGCTTCCTTATCATATTTTCCTAGTAAATGCCAATTCATTATTCCAGACCTAGCTCACATGTCATCTCTGCTTTGATGCCTTCTCTAACCTTCCCTAACAGAACTACTCCCTTATCTGTCTTCCCATTATACTTCACATAGACAATCACTATCTCTCTTATGATACAATATTAGTTAGTTATGTATTCATCTCCCTTGGAAATCTGAATGGAACCTGGACACTATATCTTTATATACCAATGGCTAGCAAGCAATTAGAGTTTAATAAAGAAATATATTATTTAAAAATAGATTAGAAACAATACTGACGTTTAAGAAATCTTAAGGAAAATACTATGCACAGTGATTAAACCATACTACATCCTCTGATCATCTCCGTACTGATGACCAAATAACAGAAATTATGACACTGCTATCATTTTTTAAGCCCTTTCTGATATAAAAAGATTCACTGTTTTATAAAGTATTTTCCTTCTATCAGGTATATCTGTGCAACACTGCTATTTAGTTATAATCAGCCAGTTTCACAAAACAGTCATCAAGATTTCTTAAAAATAAATAAAACAAAGGTACAAAGGTATCCCTCACTTTAAAGGTGTACATCCCCACCACAATCTTTCAAGGAGAGTTACTAATTTCAAAATAATCTAACCTTTTGGCAGTGATAGAGGAGAACCTCCTGATATTATCAAGAACACTGAAAGATGACTTTTAGGTAGAGAGTAGAATTGTGAGAAACAGGTGGAATCTATGGAAGATGGGGGAAAACTCTGAAGAACTGGGAGGGGAAAAGGAAGAAAGGAGAATATGGAGAGGACTCATGGGAGATAAAAAACAACAACAGAAGTTTGGTAAGAATAAAAAAAAAGATATTTATAAACCAAAAAAAAATTTTAATTTAAGATTTTATTTTTAAGTAATCTCTACGCCAAATGTGGGGCTTGAACTCACAACCCCAAGATCTAGCACTGTATGCTCCACTGACTGAGCCAGCCAGGTACCCCAACAAACCAAAATTATTGGCTTAGTATGAGGAAAAAATATTAAAACCCGAAGCACATTAAACTTCTAAATCTAATTCTTAGTTTACAGAAATACAGGAGACCACAGAACATGTTAGACAATACCACAATGATGCAATTAGCAAAATCCTACATGTGGGAAACTCTATAGGACAAGTAACTCGGTTTCTTCAACAAGGGAAAAAAGTAGGGAGGGCCTAAAAGATTTATTAAGACACGTATCACCCAAATGCGATGTGTGGGCCTTGCTTGGATTCTGATTTCAAAATCTTTAATTCTTTTTTTTTTTAAAGATTTTATTTATTTGACAGAGAGAGACACAGCGAGAGAGGGAAAACAAGCAGGAGGAGTGGGAGAGGGAGAGGGAGAAGCAGGCTTCCTGCAGAGCAGGGAGCCAGACGCGGGGCTCGATCCCAGGACCCCAGGATCACGACCTGAGCCGAAGGCAGACGTTTAACGAGTGAGCCACCCAGGCGCCCCAAAAATCTTTAATTCTTTAACAGAGAAAGAGAGAGGTAGGGAACAGAAGTTGGAGAGTGAGGGAAGAGAGAGAAACACACACAAAGATAAACGGGGATAGCTGAGCAATGACTAGATATGTGATAGTATAATGGGATTATTGTCTCCTTTAGCAGAGGTAATAATATATGGTTATATATTTTTAAAAAGACTAAATCCTTAAAAAAAAGACTAAATATTTTAGAGATACAGATGAAAATATTTGTAAATGAAATAAAAGACATCTGGGACATGCTTCAGAATAATCTAGAGGGATGGGGATGGAAATGAATTAACCACTATTGAAGCTGTATGGTGGTTTTAAGAGGATTCATTATACTATTTTTCTACTTTTGTAATGTCTGACATTCACCATAATAAAAAGTATAAAACAAAAAGAAGAAGAAATATTACCTGCCTTGGTTGTTTGACTCATTTTAAGTCTTCTTTGATCCACTCAAGTTTAATGGTCTTCTCTCAAACTAATCACCCTTCAACTGAACATTTACCAAGTCATTTTTTTTTATCCTGGAACCCTAAGGTCGTGTCTATTAAGGCTTAAACTAATGAAGTCTTCTTTCCTTACCTTGTCAGACAATTCATTTTCTACATCTTTCTTGATTCTCCTCAGCATAAATGGCTTCAAGATCATGTGTAATCGAGAGAGTTGATCTGAAATGCCAGGAGGTCCCCCCCGACAAATAATACATTATATTGACTTAACACAAACAAAAGAAATATCATGATCATCTCTCACTAAACTGTCCTTACACCTTTTGGCCTAATGAAACTCTGAAAGAAGACTAAAACTTAATCTTTTCGTTAAGTAGGAAACCAAGGAGTCTGAATTTTCATAGCACCCGCCTATAGTCTATAGGGCAAATGCATTTTTCTATCATTTACTCAGACCAACAAGGACCACTGTATTATTATTAGAATTCACTGTTAGAGTGTTCTAAGATCATTTTATCAATAACAGTTCTTATATAGGTGAATGGAAGCTATCTGGGTCTCCCAGTGTTCCTCCAAAATCATTTTTCTAAGTATGTCAACAAATTAACAAATTATAATATAAGAAATTACTTTAGGACTTTTCTAATAGTTGGTAGATGTCAGTTCATATCAATGTAATAAACACCTCGCAACTCTTATATTCTTCAACAAGGTCAAAAGTATTGATAAATAAATTTTAAAATATTCACAGTAGAAACAAATCCTAATATAGAAAGAAAAAACAAAAATAACCCCTCTCATATTTGTTTTTATCACAGGATAAAAACCTTACCCCATTCCTTAAGGAATATAATTCTGATAGGAATTTTTCAGAATCTACATGGAAAATGAGGATTCTATAAGCCAAAATGCGGTACTTATTGGACTCTGCCTGTTCTACCTTGATTAAATGGGCAACAGTACAGCAGTATCACCTCTATGAGTCCTTGTGGCTCTTTTAAACACGAACAAAGCATATAATTACTTTATAAAAGAAAAAACTACCCCCCCGCCCCGCCGCAGATCCTTCTATGAATACTGGAAGAAAAATTCTTTACATAGAAGAAAATATTCAATTATGTGGTTGCCTACACTGATAGGTAGAAAGAAAGAGTTCATAAAAGCACTCACTCTCATCAATGGCAGATTTGTTTTCGGCGTGGCTCTCGATGTCCTTGGAAAACCATTCATTAAATTCCTCATGTGAATCAAATAATGTGGGCATAATGAAATGTAGCAGAGCCCAGAGCTGGAAACAGAAATGTGAAATAATTGTAAGAAAACAAAATGACAGTGTGTGAAGATATGATGAGGGTTTGGAGAGAGTGAAAGTTGCAGGTGTGTGTGTCTGTGTCTAGGAATAGCTGTAAGTGTGGGCAACTGGGTGAAAAAGAATGAGTGTGTAAGCACATGCCTCATCAACCAACCCTTATTTTCTAAGATGTTAGAGCAAAATGAGATTTTTCAATTCATTTCAAACAAAGTCTGAAAGTACAAGTCCTGCTCATATTTTGCAATGGGATAGTTTTAAAGATCTTATATATTTAAAAAATCCATTTCACAACCAAACACAATCTGAAGTAGCATAACTTGCTAATAATAACTCTTAATTGGGGGTCAGTAAATTATGGCCTATGATGCCAAGGCTGGTCTGCCAGCTACTTTTATAAATAAAGTTTTAGTGGGACATAGCTACACCTATTCCTTTATGTACCGTCTATGGCTGCTTTCACATTAGAATGGCAAGGTTGAGCAGCTGCAATAGCAACTATATTGCCTGTAAAGTCTAAAATATTTACTATCTAAAAAAAAATTACTATCTGGCTCTTTATAGAAAGTTTTCTGACCCCTGTTCTAGATGATCAATTATCTTTTCTAAATAAGGAATTTTAGCTCCTCTCAGTGCCCAAGATTATTACCTTTTCATTCTATCATAAAAACATCCCTGCATTAGATGGGTAGCATTTCTAATGTGGTCACTATTTATTCCATAAATACAAAGGAATACATTAATTTATTTGCCTATGCCAGAGAATAAGAAAATAGGAATGATCCCTAAAAAACCCATTTAGGGCAAGCTATGGTCAAATTCTTCTTTTACGTGGGGATTATAATTTGTACAGAGCAGTAATGCTCCAGGTGGGCATGGGAAAGAGTTCTATTCTGTGCTAGAACCATTCTGTTTAATGCAGACATAAAACCGAAGCCTTTACTAATGCCTACCTCTGCCATGGTGTTCTGAATTGGGGTCCCAGTTAGCAAAAGCCGATTCCGACACTGGAACTGCAAGAGAATCTTCCAACGAACACTGTTCAGTAAAATGAATTACAAATTCCAAGTTAGCAGTAAATATTTCTTCACCCTACTAAGACCCTGTATTTCTAAAAATGCTTTCCAAAAAAATTCCAAACACCAAGAATCTAGTACTCCACCGCTGTACACATTGAAAAATGTTATTCCACAAAGCTGAGGACAGAAAATGACTCCTGTATACTAAAAACATGGTATTAGGATTTAGAAAAAACAGCCCTCAAATGGGCAGAGTAGGATCCTTTCTGGCTTAACAAAGTGCTCTACTACCTTTGGTCAGTTTTGTTGACACAAGCTTTTTAATTTTAAGGTATTATCTGTAGTAAAAAGCTTCACAATTCTTAATCTCTGTGCTTCCAGTGTGAGTTGAGAGAGATCAATGGAGAAAGGGGAAAGGTGTGAGAAGAAAATGCAAAATCAGTATATTGCTCCCGGCAGTAAGCATGTCCTACTTCAAAAGAGTATAATATGAAGTAATGTCCGTCAGAGGACAGAATGTACCATCCATCTTGTCAGTTAAAATGGAACTCTAAGAAAGTCTTATGGACTCACCAAGAATTAATAAAAATGCCCTCAATGCAACATTTAATACCACTGAGTAACCCTTTAATGTCAAGCAATGACTTACTATTCAGTTTGTTACTTTGAAGGTAATATAATATTTTAAACATGTAACTTCCAATAAAAAGATCTTGGGGCTCTAATAACCAATCAGGGACTAGGACAACCTGCATAAAACAAACAGAACCTACAATCTATATAATGTAATATTCTACTTCCTACTAAGACCTCCTGTTCAAAATAATTCCTGAATCAAAGGGCAGACAAGCCTTCTCCCACAAAAATGTTCCTTGAAGAACAAAGATCTATTAAGATGCAATAAATATTGAGTAGAGAAACAGAAGTTAAGAAAATCCCTTGTATTCTAAACATTAATATTTGTATTCCATATAAAATGCAAAAGGGAATTTTTGCCTTCTGGTCAGATACATGGCATATGCACAGACCACATCATGCCATGTTTGGAAACCTCTCTGATCTTTATTCATCTGTGTGTATGCATATATCATAAGTCTATATCCTATACCTATATATCTATACAGTCTTAGTCTACAGAGTTTGGTGTCTATTAATTATGTTACCTGGAACTACTCTTGAGTGCCTGAGCCTCATCCAATACCATGTACTGCCACTTGACACGCTGGAAATACTTTACATCCTGCACCACCAGCTGGTAGCTGGTGATAACCACATGGAAGGGGGCATCCTGAGTGTAGAGGGTCTTCTGTAAATATAAGAAGGGAAGAATGGAAATAGATACCTAATAATTCATAAGATAATGAGGAATGGATTTTATTTTCTAAAGCTAAGAAGTTTAACATAGTCCTACTGAAGATGTGCTTCTCCCACGTTGTAGATGTGCGGTGAATTAAACCATAACTGTTTTTAAAGTACTCACCTTAATTACAGATCACGTTAAACATTAGTCTTTAGCTTATTTAAGAGTTCTTACTTAATCCTGGACTTTTAGGTCCAACTGATTGTCTATAACAGGAAAAGTGTTATAGAAGAAAAAAAGTGCACTTGTCTAGTGTCTAGAAATATATGTAACATTTTACACACCAGAAGTTACTCAAATAAAATGGAGAAATGACTGCATATGTAAGTTTGTGTATATACACGGGCGTATGTGTATATGCAATAAGCTGAAAGTTACCTGACTCCAGAACCTCCTGATAACTTTTCTATCATGAGGATTTCCCCAATACGGTAGCACCTGGAAAAAGGACCATCATACAGATTATTTCCTACTTGTAATCTTAAAAGTATCATCACAAATGTTATTCAGAATGATTTTAAAAGAACCTAAAGAATGAATATAAGAATTCTTCTGTCATTGCCACTAGTACTCTTCCTGCTGACACACACACAGAGGGGCGCCATGGTGGCTCAGTCATTAAGCGTCTGCCTTCGGCTCAGGTCATGATCCCAGGGTCCTGGGATCGAGCCCTGCATCGGGCTCCCTGCTCTGCGGGAAGCCTGCTTCTCCCTCTCCCACTCCCCCTGCTTGTGCTCCCTCTCTCGCTGTGTCTCTGTCAAATAAATAAATAACACACACACACACACACACAGAAAACATTTATGAAAAGGCATTAGAAAGCTACCGTGGCAGAGGAGAATTACAGAGCCAAGATCCAGAAAAGAAAGTCCGTCCAGAAAGTAAAGCCTGACACCTGGTACGTGTCTTTCCTAAAGGTGTTGATCTTTCCCAAAAGTTCTAACTGAAAAACTAAGAAATTGAGCAGAGAATTTTTTTTTTAAAGATTTTATTTATTTATTTGACAGAAACACAGTGAGAGAGGGAAGACAAGCAGGGGGAGTGGGAGAGGGAGAAGCAGGCTTCCCGCCAAGCAGGGAGCCTGTTGTGGGGCTCCATCGCAGAGCCCTGGGACCATGACCTGAGCCCAAGGCAGACGCTTAACGACTGCACCACCCGGGCGTTCCCCCCTGCCTTTTTTTAAGAGATGCAGGGCCTACAGAACAAAAACTGGAGTTCAAGGTGAAGGATTATGATAACCGCCCACCGGGAATCACAGGATACATGCCCACAGGCACTAAAGGTCAACTACACATAGATGTGCCTTAACAAGTACTGAATCCCAGCTTTGAATCATCTCAATTCCTGACAAGATTAAGGTGGGGACTTTGGATTATTAGTGCACCGCCCCCCCCCCCCCCCCCGCAACCCGGCCCTACCAGGCCAAAAACAAAACAAACACCACCAACCCAGAACACATATAAATCCTCTCTGGAAGAAGAAGAAAACAGAGCCCACAATTGTCTCTAGAATTTTTCCTATATAATGGCTGGTATACAATAAAAACACAAATAAAACCAATAAAAAAAAACCCCAGACATATGGATAGACCCCACGACTGAAAATTAACAGGAAAAACAGATACAGGAAATAAATCCAGGAGACTCAGATGATAAAAATATCAGAAACGGACTTTTTAAGAAGATGCTGACTTGTTCCTGGAATTAAAAGATAAGCTTGGGAATTTCAGTGGTATACTAGAAACTATAAAGTACCAAAGGGAGTTCTTTAGAACTGAAAATACAAAAACTAAAATTGAGAATTCAATCATGGGTTTAATGACAGATTAGATGCAGCTCAGTGAAACATGGGGCATCTGGGTGGCTCAGTCGTTAAGCGTCTGCCTTTCAGCTCAGGTCATGATCCTAGGGTCCTGGGATCAAGCCCCGCATGAGGTTCCCTGCTCAGCAGGAGGCCTGCTTCTCCCTCTCTCTCTCCCCCTGCTGTGTTTCCTCTCTTGCTGTCTCTCTGTTAAATAAATAAAAATTTTAAAATCTTAAAAAAAAAAAAAAAGAAAAAAGAAAAGAAAAATTTAGAAGAAAATTCGTGAAACAGAAGATAGGTCAAAAGGAAATATTTAGACTAAAGCATGGTGAAACAAAAGAATGTAAAATTCAGCACTTTTTCTGTGCCGTCTCTAGGTGTCATTTTCTTTCAAAGTGCTTCCTGGATCTGTAGCTTGATGTTTTTTGTTGTTTTGAAAAATCTCAGTCACAGTGAAGTATAAATATACAGGAAGAAATGAAGATCAATGAAAACAGTGAATAGGTAATATGAATGTATGTAAATAAATTTAAAATGTATAGATAATAATAATATTTTGTGAGGCTTAGAAGAGAAAATATATACAAAAACAGCAGCAAGTTTCTCTCTAATAAATAAATAAAATCTTTAAAACAACAACCACAGCAGCATGTAAGTCTTCAGAAGACGAATGTAGTTAAAGTATACTGGCACCTGGGTGGCTCAGCTAGTTAAGAGTCCAACTCTGATTTGGGCTCAAGTCATGATCTCAGGGTTGTGGAGCCTGCTTAGGATTCTCTCTCTCCCTCTTCCTCTGCCTCCACCCCATCCTGCTCACCGGCTCTCTCTACGCTTTCTAAGAAAAAGAAAAAAAGTACACTAAAGCCTTTGTATGAAAGCAGTAACAGTATTAATTTATATTATACTTTTTAAAAAGTCAAGGATGCATGTTCCTTGACTCTTGGGTATTCTCCTGGGTATCTACTAAAGAATAAAATGAATATATAATTAGCAAGCTAAGAAGGAATGAAAAAGAGTAGTAAAATCTAATCAATCCACAGGACACAAGAAAGGACAAAAAGGAAAGTTACAGAAGTAGAAGGAAAGAAGTAGAAAACAAACAGCAAGACAGATTTAAAATCCATGTTATCAATAACTACATTAAAAGTCAGCATAATTATGGGGCGCCTGGGTGCCTCAGTCGGTTGAGCGTCTGCCTTCGGCTCAGGTCATGATCCCGGCGTCCCGGGATCCGAGCCCCCCCCAAGGCTCCCTGTTCATCGGGAAGCCTACTTCTCCCTCTCCCTCTGCCTGCCTGCCTACTTGTGATCTCTCTCCCGGTCAAATAAATAAAGTCATTAAAAAATAAAAATAAATAGAATTACAAACAAAGGCAAGAAAAAACCTTAAATGTTAACAGAATGGTTAAACGTAAAAGAAAAAGATACCACATAAAAACCAGAAGAAAGCTAGTCTATTTAATGCCAGAGAAAACAGGCATTAGGCAAAAAGTCTTAATGAGAGGAATTTCATAATAAAAGGTTTGATTTATCAGGAAGGTAAAAATAACTGTAAATTTGTATACAACTCACAACCTCAAAATATACAGCAAAATGGACAGAAGAAAACAGAAATGGATATATCCTTAATTGTGGTAATTTTTAAAAATTTTTATTTATTATTTGAGAGAGAGAGTGCACAAGCAGGGGGAGGGGCAGAGGCAGGGGCAGAGGGACAAGCAGGTTGAGATCATGACCCCAGCCAAAGCCAGACGCTTAACGGAAGGAGCCACCCAGGCACCCCTGTGGTAAATTTTAACATACTTCTTTCAATTAGTATCTGGACAGGCAGACAAAAAAGTCAGTAAAGATACAGAGGAGCTGAAATACACCTGACCTAATCAACATATATACAATGCTGCACTCAACAACTGCATAATACCTAATATCTGCAAAGAGATACAAGACATTTATATGGTGGACCATAAAAGAAAAGTTCAAAAAATTTCAAAGGACTAAAATCATAAAAAGCCTGTTTTCCTATCACAGTAGATTTAAGCTGTAAATTAGTAACAAGATACCTAGAAAATCATCCTCTGTTTAGAAATTAAGAACTACACTAATTTATTTAAGTAGGCCCCACACCAGTGTGGGGCTTGAACTCACAACCGAGAGATCAAGAGTCACATAGTCTACTGACTGAGCCAGCCAGGCACCTCAAGAACCACTCTTTTTTTTTTTTTTTTATTAAAGATTTTATTTATTCACTTGGCAGAGTGCGGATGCACACAAGCAAGAGGAGGGGCAGGCAGACAGAGAAGCAGGCTCCCCACTGAGCAGGCGCCCCCAAGAACCACTCTTAAATAAGCCATGAGGGCGCCTGGGTGGCTCAGTTGGTTAAGCGACTGCCTTCGGCTCAGGTCATGATCCTGGAGTCCCGGGATCGAGTCCCGCGTCGGGCTCCCTGCTCAGCAGGGAGTCTGCTTCTCCCTCTGACCCTCTTCCCTCTCGTGCTTTCTATCTCTCATTCTCTCTCTCTCAAATAAATAAATAAAATCTTTAAAAAAAAAAATAAATAAAAATAAATAAGCCATGAATCAAATAGGAACTTGAAATAGAAGCTAGAAATTATTTTGAATTAAAGAATAATGCAAATGTGGCACATCAAACCTTTGGATGGCTATAGTCATGTGTAGAAAGCAATTAATATCCTTAAATACACTTACTGGAAAAATCAACAATCTAAGCTCCATCCGGAGATGTTAGAAAAAGAAAAAAGTGCACAAAAAGTAGACAATAACAAAAGACAGAGCAGAAATGAATGAAATAGAAAACACAGAAAATAGCCAATTTCAGGAATGAAAATGGAACATTAACTATAAAAAAATATAAACCATATTTCTTGGGAAAAAAGAGAAAGTCAGAGACATTGGTCATACTAGAATCATAAAACAAATGCTACTTAGATACCTGCCAAATAAAATGAACTTTCAGATGTTATCATCATAGATCTAAATATCTTTTGAATGCACACTAACTATAAATCTAAGCAGAGTCTACATTTAACTATGTTCTGCAGGGAAGTGAACACATTCCTGACAATCTAAAGGAGTAATGGCAATAGGAACAATAAATCAAGAGCAGAGGTCATCAAACCTTTTGTGTAAACAGGCAAATGATAAATATTTTCAGCTTTGCAAGCAATATGATCTCTGTCACAACTACTCAACTCAGCTGTTGTAGTGAGAATGCAACCATAAATAACACTTAAACAGAAAAGTGTGGTTGTCTTTCAACATATACGCATTTAAATTTCATATACCATTTGTTATGAAATATTACTTTTTAAATCAGCAGTTTAAAAACATGAAAACTATTTTTAGTTTGCAAGCTGTACAAAAAAACAGGTGGCAGATTCCTCAATAAGTTAAATACAGAATGACTTAGCAATTCTACTCCGAAGAACATACCAAAAGAATGGACGGGTGTTCAAATGATAACCTGTACATGAATGTTCGTAACAGTACTATTAACAAGAGCCAAAAGGTGGAAACAACCCAAATACCGTTGAGAGATAAATGGATAAACAAAATATAGCGTGTCCAGATAATGAAATATTATTCAGTCATAAAAAGGAATGACATGCTGACACATGCTGAAACATGAAAATATTATGCTGTGAAAAGAAGTCAGACATAAAAGGCCACCTTATAATGATTCCAGTTAGATGAAATACCCAGAATAAGCAAATCCAGAGAAGGAGATTTGTGGTAGCCAGGGGCTGGAGGGAAAGGGATTGAATAGGAAGCAACTGCTTAATGGGGAAGAGGTTTCTGTTTGGGATGACGAAAAAATTCTGCAACCAGACAGCATCAATCATTGCACCACACTGGAAATGTACTTAATACTAGTAAATTACACACTTTAAATGTGACATTTTAGACATTTTTTGTATGTGTGTGGGTTTTTTTATTTTTATTTTTTTTTAAAGTCATCTCTACACCCAATGTGGGGCTTGAACTCAGGACCCTGAAATCTAGCTGGAGGCTCTAGCCAGGTGCTCTCCCTATGTACGTGTATTTTATTACAATTTAAACAAAACAGGACAAATGAGAGTGGCAACTGGAATATGCCCGCAGGCCATTTTTACTGACCCCCCCTAGAATAACAAAAGCAAGCTCAACATGCAAATGAGCACTCAGTTCCAGGCACAGGCACAAAATCAAAGGAGGTATCAATGACATAAACAGTACTACATTGCCATCTAATGGTCAGTGAAGTTAATACTGAAAACTCAAGTGGCTTGGTGGAAAATTTTAAGACAATTTTTCAACTTCCTAATTGCTCAACATGTACTGGAAATGAAAGCAAAAATGAATGAATAGAGAAAAAATATGGCAGCTCCATATTCCAATTGGCAAAGAATTCTAGAGAAAATATTCAACAAATTGCCTTAGAATCTCACCTTAGAAATTTAAAAATGAGTCCGTAAAGTTAAAAGCTATACACTTAATGTGCCTTGTAAACAGTTTCTAAATCTACAATTCAGCCACAATGGTGAGGCCACAGCCACAAAGGTATCCCAAAATGGAATATCTCAGACGTGTCCTTATTCCTTACAAAATGTAAGCGAGAAAACATCTGACTCTCACCTCCACCCTAACCTGTGCCCTTTAAACTGCATGGAACCCATGTATTATGGAGACCCTAAATCAGGGAGATCATAACAATAACTCGATATAGAATCTCCATAAAATCCTCCTCACCATGCAACTTCATCATCATTATATTACCTTAGGGATAGAACACATATTTAACTGAGTTCACCATTTTTATTTGCAATATAATAAATCCTATCCATTCTTTCTTACATCCCAATAACTTTCCACAATTAAACTCTATTTAATAAATCTTATCCACATCTTACCCAACCTAGTGCAACATACCTCCCTGCTGATCACTTCCAACCTCAATCTCACTTCTTTTCCTCTGTATTAGTTAAAATCAACTTTCTTATTATCTACCTTAGACATAATCTGGACTAGGACTAAAGATCTGACTTTAAAGTATCATGAAAATGAATTATTTATGAATATGGGGGGACAACAATGCCATAAATTATGTGGTATGTGCCGTGATGATACGATTTGCCAAAATCTCTGGTAAGCCAATAATGTACATATTTTCTACTATGGCAGTTTGACCAAAAATATCAATCCATGTGGCTAATGCAGCAAATCATTCAAATTGGACTTTGGCTTTCTCAATTATGAAACATAAGGATGTAATATGCTCTCTTACGCTTCCATCAGTAACTTTTTCTTTTTTCTTTTTTCTTTTTTTTAAGATTTTATGTATTTATTTGAGAGAGAGAGAGACAGAACACAAACGGGGAGTAGCAGAGGGAACAGGAGAGGGAGAAGAAGGCTTCTGCTAAGCAGGGAGCCTGACACGGGGCTCAATCCCAAGACCCCAGAATCATGATCTGAGCCAAAAGCAGATGCTTAACCAATTGAGCCATCCAGGCACCCAGTAACTTTTTTTTTTAATTAAAAGGTTTTATTTATTTATTTGTCAGAGAGAGCACAAGCAGGGGGAGCAGCAGGCAGAGGGAGAAGCAGGTTTCCTGCTGAGCAAGGAGCCCAATGTGGGACTCGATCCCAGAACCCTGGGATCATGACCTGAGCCAAAGGCAGAGCTTAACCGACTGAGCTACCCAGGCCTCCCCCCAGTAACTTTTTTTTAAAAGATAAATATTTATTTTAGCGAGAGACCATGCATGTGGACGAGAAAGAGAGAGAGAAAGCGTGTGCACGTGCAAAGGGAGGGGTGAAGGGAGAGGGAGAATCTCAAGCACACTCCTCGCTGAGCATGGAGCCCAGGACCCTGAGATTATGACCCGAGCCAAAATCAAGACCTGGACGCCTAACTGACTGAGCCACCCAGGCACCCCACCCATCAGTAACTTTTAGAGGGAATGTATTTCAAGTATCTTGGGAAAAATGCAAGAAATTCAAAACTCTTAGAGCAATTGTATAAGGCAGGCGGCAAAAGTCAGGAAGTTTATTTTAAAGAGCAACAGAAATTTTTGTTGGATTGATTTTTACCTTAAATTTAGGAACAAATCTAGTAAATTCCTGGTGCCAATTGTTAAGTGTAGAAGCAGGTGAAATTATTAAGAAAGGTCCCCAGATGTTCTCTCTCTGAAAGACAAAAACCGGGTCAGCTAATTGAAGGAAAACTGAAGATATTTAGTTCAAAATTGTAATCAATGATGAGAGCAGTTTAAGAATAAATAATACATTATAACAAGAGAAATGGTGCCTAGCTCCTACATCTCCATACTCAGTAATAATATCCTATGTTAATAATAACACAGGCAAGGAATTTGCTCAGAGAAACCTTGAGACAAAATACCAAGCAATTACTCCCACCCCCACCACCTATAGGTCCTAATTTCTATCATTCACAAAGCACTTAACAATATCCTGACTTGTAAGTATTGCTTTCCCTTATACGAGATGATCATAACGATTTTGGAGCTTTTGCTTTTTTCAAAATGCTTCTACATGTATTTTCTCATTTAATTCTCACAGAATTCCTACAAAGTAGATATTAGCCCCACTTTGCAGAAGTAGAAACTAACCCTCAGAGAATTAAAGTGAAGCCAGAGCAAAAGAGATTAGATGAATTGCCCAAGTTTACATTGTTTATAGTCAACACAGAGTTCAGATGTGAACCTGGGTGTTCTGGTCTAACTAACTACAATGTCTTTGCCACTGTGTGAATGGCTCTGGACAGGGGAGAGGGGGCAATATGTCAAACCACACATTCTCAGTAACTATTCTAGTCTCGCAAACCAAAATGCTTCATCACACCGTGTCACCCTTTAATGATCTTGAAGGCAAGGAGTTAAGTCCTACTGTCCTCATATGCTCCAAAGCCCAGCATAGTGCTAGATAATGGCTGATTCTCACCCCAGAATCTAGAGTGCGAAAGATAGAAAGACTGCATCTACCCACCTCAGCCAGATGGGCCAGGAGGGCAATACTCTGCACTGTTTTACCAAGGCCCATTTCATCTGCAAGAATGCCATTAATGCCCTGGGAAAAAAAAATACACAGTCAATAACCTCTCACATTCCATCACACAGGATTCAACCTACTGTCCCAAAGAACTAATCAAACTGTCAAGACTTATTTAAACAAAAGTGACTAGAAATACCATTTCAGCACTATTACGCACTGCTGCAATGATTCCTTTTGCCAACTCCATAGCTACAACTATGAATCACGGTATCTGAGGCTAGTTTTTCAGCAAATTTAATCCAGGCAAAAAACCAATCAGGTTTACCAAGACCACCTAAAACTATGTATGTGATACAAATATTCTCCAATAAAATTTCAGGTTAAAAATATAAAAACATCTTTCTGACTCTTGTCAGAGGATAAAGCATTTCAAAAGGATGAAATTTAAAACATTGTCTTATGCTCATTTCACGATACACTGAACCAATGATTTTAGGAAAACACATAACGAAAGAAGAGTGGGTATGGCATAGTTCTAAAATTCACCTGTTCATAGAGATTAGCCAACCAATTCATGCCTTTCAGCTGATAGCCTTTTAATTTGCCATTAAAAATTGTAGGCTGTGGAATATCTTCCCCAGCCCGGATAGATGGGTTTGCCAGGCTGTAACTCTCCCCAAACCCAGTGCCAGACTTGTTTGCTGCCCGAAGCGCAGCTGCTCGACTTTCTTTCGCATCTTCATCAAATGACCTTGTCTGGAAAATAAAAACATCAGAAGAAAAATATGAGGGAAAAAATGAAATTCAAATAAAGTTCATAATGACAGTATATCTACTCTGTGATAACTGGAACAAAATTTCTGATAATATTATGTAATGTATTATGTATAAAGCACAATATATGAGGGGCGCCTGGGTGGCTCAGTCATTAAGCGGCTGCCTTGGGCTCAGGTCATGATCCCAGGGTCCTGGGATTGAGCTCTGCCCTGGGCTCCCTGCTCAGCCGGGAGCCTGTTCCTCCCTCTGCCCCTCCTCCTGCTCATGTTCTCTCTCTCTCTCAAAAAAAAAAACCAAACCCCACAATATATAAAATATTACTAATATTTAAAAATTAATTTAGCAATTATATTAAGAATATGCTTTTGATGAGCACACATATTATATGACTATAAACCATATTACATGACTACTTGCTTCATCAAGGAATGTGTTAAAAATCTGATATAAAATTTGTTTGGCTGGGGTTGGTGGGGAGAAGGTCAAGTTTATCCTGACTTGGATGCTGTTACATGGGGTTCCTATGCAGTATATTCTTTACTTACTTTACTTAATTTAACCTAACTGCAGTTTTCTTCTGATTTCATGAAATATCACTATATCAAGAATTAGCAAGTTATTACTAAGGTGAAAGAAGGTCCTAATATAGCAGTATTCTTAAGGCAATGATATAGCTCTCTTAACAAGCACCACTGTGGTCTTTTCCACTAAACAACCATGATGCATTTCACACTATATTGCCCATGATTACTCAAGACGACAAAAAAACAGGTCAACTGTCCTAGCTTCAATCAACACACTCCTAAAGCTTAGACAAGTGAATGCTCATTTTCCACCCTTTCTCAATTATGCCTACTTTTCTAAATAGAGCCACAGCCTGCACCCAACACAATCACATATGTACACATCTGCCAATGCTTTTAATTGAAAAATGAGTAAGACTAAAGGAAGACCACCCAAGTGAAAGGTTGTAGGATATTTCCGGAGCCCCTTACAGTTTCTTTTCATTTTAAGACTCACCCGAGCTTGATGAATATGATAAGCATTTTCAGCATTCTTCAGGGCCTGGGCTTTGAAATGGTTACTATCTGAAAAGGAAAACTTAGAGATTATCACACGTCATTAACTGATCTCCTTCAAAGATGCAACTCACACCAACACTGTCAATCCCTAACTCCCCCAATTTACTCATCCCTAAGCTCACAGAAAGTGAGAGAGCAGAAAGGTTCAAATTACATGACAGAGGTAAGGACCCAGAAGTGGCTATGAACGCAGAGGGCTGCCATGATCTCCAGTAGCCAAAGCCAGCTCAGAGAAACTGCATCTACCCACCTCAGCCAGATGGGCCAGGAGGGCAATATTCAGGAGGCTACGCTCATCGCCCAATCCTGGGTTTCTTGCACAAAGCAATGACAAAGCAAAGCAAAGCAAAACAGTGGGGATTCAAAATTGTGATAGATTTCTGCTGGGTGAAACTATTCCCAAAGAAGAAATCCAGACACGTGTAAACCCCAAGATCCTTGCAAGCATACTCATTCTTTTTATTCTGAGCTCAACGTGATCTTGATCGCTATTCAAATTTCACCCCAATTCCTCCCTCCCTTTATGGTCACAAAAAGGCCACAACTGAGGGGTGCCTGGGTGGCTCAGGTCGTGATCTCAGAGTCCTCTGAGACCTGAGCAAGGAGCCTGCTTGTTCTTTTCTCTCTTCCTCCACCCATTCTCTCTCAAATAAATAAAATCTCTTAAAAAATAAAAATACAACTGAACAGTCTCTTTCTCATGCCTGCCTTGTATCACCAAGAATCTTGTTATGTGACAGATGATTTTCTCTGCTAGACATGTTCACTGAATTCTTCTGATATAATATCCTCCATTTCTACTAATAAATCAAAACATATAAAATATTCCCAAACTTACAAGATCATATAAACACACCCTTTCCTTTTCAAATTCTTTAATAAAAGTTATTTTGTATGTTTGTTTTATTCATACTTTCCCTACTCCAGTGCAATAAATTCCCCTTTACTAATCATTACCTATCAATCAAGACAAAACTTACAAGAACTAATCACGTGTATAACCTTAGATATAAAAAAATGGAGGGTACCCACTTCCTCTACGTCTTGATTCAGGACTCACCATAATCCTCCTGTGTGATGTTAACTACCACCCCTCCACCAATGTCAATTTGTCTTTGGGTAGAGCTGTCTTCCAGTTTCCTTAGAATTTCTTCCTGAATTCCATCATGACCCATGTCTCGTTTGCGACTCATGAAATGGGCATACAACTCTGTTTGGGTGATTAGGAAGTTCAGTTTTCGCTGTTGCCTCTTGGCCTAAAAGGGAAGAAAGTTATTTTCACTCAATAGTCAAATCATCAATCACATCACATCAATTCTGTTGATTTGGTGATCAATAGAATTCACCAAATCTATATATAGTTTGCATATAATTCTTTTACAAATTCTTTACCTTTAGAAAGGTAGTTAATTGCTAATGCACAATTTTATTATAACCAAGTCAGTGGTACTAAAAGCAAAGAATAGCTTTTACTTATATCTTAAAAATGTAAACATGTGAAAAGATCTTCATCACCAAAAATCAAAATAAGTGACTAGGAGCTATGAATTATTCTGAAAATCCATGTAGGAGAAGCCAATCAAAGGAAGAAAACGCTCCTAAAAACAGTGTATAGTTGATCTGTACACTGATCAAGTGCACACACACATACACTTAATCACTGCTTTGCATTAACTATTTTATAATAAAACTGATTTATCTTTGATCCAATACTGCAAATGAAAAATAAAAACATAATAAGGAAGTTAGCCAAGAAAGGAGACCAGTCCTAAAGTATGCTACATAAAACTATGCTCTCTCTTTAAGATTTTACAGAACTTGAGCCAGATTCAAATGAGAAGGAAATCTGAAACACGGTTTAACAGAAAATGGGAGTTATTTTTCATAATGGATACAGGTGTTTGTGTTTACTATGTCAGCAAAGCTACTGTATTATCAAGAAAACCTTTCCAAATTAAAACAAAAAAGTAGTATCTCCTTTAACCTTAAAAAAGTCAACTACTACGCGTTCAAATGAACAAGGTAAATTAAAGGAACAATAAAGTTTCATCACAAATAGTTTTATTTCAAAAGATCGCAGAAAAACATAGACATAACCATGAAGGAAACTCATTGGTTAACTATCAACAAAACTGAGAGGATGTCTCACAAACCTAGACTAGAAATCAGGCTGCTTGCAAAACTTCAGGATCTGTGACCAACTTTCAAATGCCTCTAAATTCAGGAAGTATTCCGGATAGCATCAGATGCGTCCTAACACACTAGTATGTTTATCTTGCATGTGAAGATAAATGTTACCCAGGGGACTTAAGAGAACTGGGCAAAATCCATATTCATCCTCAAAGGCATGAGATAAAGGACGGAAGATCAAGAGCTCAGAAATAGCCACAGCTCTGCTGTGACGGAGCACTACCCAGGCCTGAGAGCAAACCTTAACCAATCCCGATTCCCTTCCTCCGGGCCTCAACTCTCCTTCCACACATCCCAACTGGTTTGCCCACGGCAACACAATGATTTTGTTCTCCTACTCTCTCCTCTTGCTTCCCTGAACAATCTACTCACCTACATCAGCTGACATCAAACTTAGAAGAGCACTGGCTGAAAGTTAAACCAGTGAAGCAGGTGGGGGATGGGTCTCAAACTGGACTAGCTGTCTATTGTTCCTATCTGGCCCTAAATTTGGCAGCCAGCCCTGCTCTTCCAACAAGGAAGAAACTGCAGCCAGTACCTGGAACGAAGCCAAAATAAGCTGTAAGCGGTTTTCTTTTTCTTTCGTTCATCCCTCTTCTTTTTCCTTTTTTTGGTCCTCCAGAAATATACAGAGGAATAAGGCTACAAAGAACAGAAAAACTTGGCATAGAAAAAGAGAGGTGAAGGCCAGAGAGAGGGCCTAGATGAAAGGATAAAAACAGAATCGGTTTATCGGACTAAAGTTACTATCCTCAAACTTATGTCTTAAAAACCCTTTTTCAATGATTTCATGGATTAATTTGTCATTTGTGTAGTACACACCAACCTATGGATTTGGCTGCAGCAATCAGGGTTTCAAAATTTTATACTACTGTCTTACCTCCCGCATTTCCTCATCCAACTTCCGCTGCTCCAAGGCCTCCTTCTCTGCACGTTTGCGATGTTCCTTCTCCACCTTCTCATACTTCTTCCAGTACAGAAGCATCTCCTTGGTGAGGCGGCGGGCACGAGGCAAGGTCTCCTTACAGTTCTTTTGGGCCTGCAAGGCGGCTCGACGCACCTCCTTCATGCACTGGTGGGCAAGCTGCAGATGACAACAACAGTCTCACAAAGGAGAAGACCCAACACCAGGGCCAGTTCTCCCTGAGCTCTACACCACAGCATTCCTCAGTCTGTTCAGTGCACACAGTCTTCCTATGGCCACATCTCTTTCTCCCTCAACGTGATTAAAGTCCATGCACAGTACTGTGACCCAGACCCAGACCCTGAGGTAATACATGGAATGAGAAATCTATACACATACTGCCTTAGAAGATGAGAAAAAAACGCATAATGATCTGAGATGTGCTGGGAAGTTACAAAGTATTATCACACATATTAATAGTAACAGTCATTAATGCTAGGCTCCACTCTAAGCCTAACATATATTAAACTAATTTATTCTTCACAAAACCTCTATGAAGTTGGTAGTATCAACATCCTCATTTTACAGATGAGGAAACCAAGGATAAGTGACCAGCCCAGGGAAACAGAACTAAAAACATTACCTCATCTGATCTCACAGCTTTCAAAGGAAGTTTGTGCTACTTCCCTCTAAAGGAAGGTATTGATATTAACATCATCATTTCTTAAAGAGACTGAGCAAAGGAAGCTTCCATGATCTGCCTAAGGAATCAGAGCACACTATGGTCTCATCCAAAAAGGTTCAAATATCAGAAATGTAAGGAAGAGCATTTTATTTTTAAAATAAATGGCGATGAGAGACTATGGACTCTGAGAAACAAACTGAGCGTTTTGGGGGGAGGGGGATGGGTTAGCCTGGTGATGCGTATTAAGGAGGGCACGTATTGAATGGAGCATTGGGTGTTACACGCAAACAATGAATCATGGAACACTACATCAAAAACTAATGATGTATGGTGATTAACATAACAAAAAAACTAATGATGTAATGTATGGTGACTAACATAATAAAATGAAACTTAAAAAATAAAATAAATGGAGAACATTTAGAAATTCTCTTAGGTATTACTAGATTCATTATCAACAGGTCACAAGAAACAAAAGCAGCAAATATAAATATGTTCCAGCATAATATAAAATGGGAAATACAAAACTATAATTTACCTTTCGGCTATTGGTGAGAAACAGGTTACGAGCTGAAGCTTTCTGCTTGTTGGCCTAAAATATTTAAAAACAATTATTTCATTTAGGAGTCCTTTTCAAATAAGATTATGTAGACTGACAATGTCTTTTATTCAACTCAAGGGTTAAAAAAATAAAGTCATCCAAACGCACCAACTCAGAAACACACATAAAGCTACTGAAGCAGTATTAAGAAGAATAAGCTAGTCCTGTGGCTGCCTTAAATAGAGTCTTCTGCATCCTTTTGGAAAGAATTTAAGCTAGATTTAAGGCTTGACGTGGACTAGGAAAATATAACACCATACCTAACATACACCATCCTGACTAAAACACACTACTTTCCAGAGCCAATCTGCAAAGAAGCTGAGAAAGTAGTCACTCACACACAGATATTGTTAGGAGAGGTAAACTAGCCTCCCAATCTGTGATTCTGTCCTCCAACCAGGACAAACCTGCTGCTACTATTAATTTCTGCCAACACTTAAGCTTCATCTTCTCAAACAAAAAATTCCAAGGCAGACCTAACACAAGATGACTCAGCAGCCAACAAACCAGTCACAAGCTACTTATTCTGTCTTCCAATTCAGTTATAAAACAAAAACCTCAAAAAAGAAACCTGATTTCCCCCAATGATCCACTTGACATGGGAGAAGACACAGCATAGGCACAGCTGAGTGACTCTCTGACTGTTAAAGAACTCAACCCCCTAATTCTGAAGAAACAGTGGGTGCGAAGTTACAGATGGCCCAAACGCCATTTCTATAAAATTCCCACCTCAGACTGTCTGCTTATGGGAATTTTTAGACCTTTTATAAAAAACTTTCTTTTACTAATGCTTAAGCAGCTATTGCCACTTTAAAGACAAGAATCTCAAATACTGGGGCACCTGGGTGGCTTAGTTGTTAGGCATCTGCCTTCGGCTTGGGTCATGATCCCAGGGTCCTGGGATCGAGCCCTGCATCGGGCTCCCTGCTCAGTGGGAAGCCTGCTTCTCCCTCTCCCATTCCCCCTGCTTGTGTTCCCTCTCTCACTGTGTCTCTGTCAAATAAATAAATAAAATCTTAAAAAAAAAAAATCTCAAATATTTCTATTGAATTCCTGATCATCAGAAGTGCATCATTTAAAAAAATATTTTTATTTATTTTTTAATCTCTACACCCAATGTGAAGCTTGAACGCACAATCCTGAGATTAAGAGTCACATGCTCTACACAATGAGCCAGCCAGGTGCCCCGCAAGGGCATCATTTTGAAGCCTCTTCACCAGGTACAAAGAGGGTTTCCCCATAACATCTCCCATCAAGAATGTTCCTATCTAAACTTTCTCTCCAAAAATACTTACTAATTGGCATGGGGAGAAAAACGGTCATTGTACAGTAGAGAAGCACCAACACACCAAGGGATCAAAGCTAATATCATCATACTGGGACAGATGTGTCCTGTGCCTCCTAATACGTCATACCAAGAAGGATACGTCACTTCTTTGGTAATCCTGCCCGAAATGCATAACCCAAATCTAAGAATCTCATGAACTCAAATTCAGAAACTGTGTACAAAATAACAGGGGTATACTATTCAAAAATAAAAAGGTCATGAAAGAACACTGTGTCAGATTTAAAAGAGATTAAAGAGATGTGACAACTAAATGAAACACAGAGTCCTAGACTGGATCCTGGATTGAATAAAAAAAAAGCCCTATAAAGGACATTATAGAGACAACTGATGAGAAATCTGAATATGGTCTGTGGACCAGATAATAATTTTTATAACTGCACTGTTGTTCTATGAGAGAATGTCCTTTTTCTTAAGAAACACACATTGAACTGTTACAAAGAAGTTCAGTACAAAGTGTCTAACCCTCAAAATGGGGAAGAAAAAAAGTATGCATTTATATAACAAAAGCAAAGGAAGCAAACAATCACTAAATATGAATAAAAGTTACATGGCAGTTCCTTGCATTATTCTTGCCATATCATTTTAAAACTTCTTGTTTTGAACTAATTTAGACTTACAGAAAAGTTGCAAAAAATAATAGTTTCCTTACATCCCTCCTGCTGCTTTCCCTAGTTTTAGCATCTTATATAACTAGAATACAATTACTAAGAAAGGAAAATAACACTGGTAAAATATTAATTAATTTACAAGTCTTATTTGAATGTCAACACTTTTTCCACTAAAATTCTCTTCCTGTTCCAGCATCCTGTAACAGGATCCCCTGTATTTAGTTGCTTTTCTCCTTAGTCTCTTCCTGTATGTTACATTTCTTCAATCTTTCTCTCATGTCCTCAACACTTTTGAAAGGCACCAATCAGTTACTCTGTAGAATGTCCCAAAATTTGTGATTTTCTGGTATTTTCTCATGATTGGAATGATATCATACATTCTGGCAAGAATACCACAGAAATGACGTGTTATTCTCTATGCATCACATCAAGTTCACAATGTCAAAATTTTATTACTAGTGACTACTTAGATCATTTGGGTAAGGTAGATTCTGCCAATTATCATCACAAAAGTTACTATCTTTCTTTCTGTGCTAATATGTATGCTTACAAATTATTTCTCCTCTAACCTTCATCCTCTAATTTCAGTCATCAATGGATCCAGTCTGCAACAATTATCACTGTGGTATTTGTGTAATGATGGCTCTCTACTTCCTTCCTTCCTTCTGCACTCATTAACTGGAATTCTATTGCAAGGAAGAGCTGTTCCTTCTACCTTAACTATTTGCTTATTTATTTAAAACAGTATGGACTCACAGGTATTTCTTTTAATCTATGTGTTAAAATTCAGTATTATCTTTTTTAAAGTAGGCTCCATGCCCAGCAGGGGGCCAATTTAGGACTTGAACTCAAAACCCTGAGATCAAGACCTAATCCGAAATCAAGAAAGGATGCTTAACCAACTGAGCCACCCAGGAGCCCCATTATTATCATTATCAATTTTGGTGCTCAATTATTCTAACTTTGACCATGAGGAGCTCCTTTAGGCTGCTCCTGTGTTGTTCTGACAATCCCCCACACTCATCTTTCTTCAAGCACTTCCTTACTTTCTGGCACTCCAAGATGTTTAAGGCTCATCTTGTATTTTCCCTGCCAAGTTCTGGAATAAACTACTTATCCAAGGAGCTCTGGTTCCTTTTATTAAAGAATAAAAGGTGTTTAGAAATCAAGACCTGGGCACAAGACATCCTCGTTGTTACCGGGTCTGTCTCTAGGCACTCTCAGCAAACAGAGCTAGAAAATAAGTATATAGGCATACTAACCTATGCATACACACACAACTATACTTCTGTACATATCTATCTGTGTGTGTGTGTGTGTGTGTGTATAGAAACATGAATTCATACTGACAGCTCTGATTCCAATCAAATTTCAAGGGCTTCACTTTAGCATTCCCAACAGTGACAAACTGGCTGTCAACTACAACAGATTTATTTATTTGTTCAATTCTAGTATGCATTTAAAGTAGTTCCAAAATTACTAACCCATTCCTTTGTAAGAAACACTTAGGACTATGTCAATCATAGCACTTACGTATAGTTCTTTTGGTCTTCAGCCTTACATATGCAGTCAAAATACTGATTTCCTCAGTTACTTCAATGAGACCTTTTCTTTTCCCACCCTCTGCAACTCGATTATATTACTCATTTCTTTTTTTTTTTTTTATTACTCATTTCTAATGCAGTTAAGCATTTACCCCTGTCTTTATTCCACTTTGCCCACATATCCCCTCAACCTCCTTCTTCACCCACATCCTGGTTAGTTTTAATGGGTTTATTATAGGGGTATGTGAGGAGTATATGACACATTACTAGGATTCTGAAAGGCAGTCCTATATATAAAAAAATGTACTTGAAGACTGTGCCCTCATCCCTGCTAACCTGTCCATTCCCCTCTTTCTACATTTTCCCCACCTGCCCCCTATAAGAAATCAACACTTTGATTTCTGGTTTATCCTTCTTGAATTTCTTTTGCATGAATGAGGATTTATTTGTGTATTTTCTTGTATTCCTGTTTTGCTTATATGAAAGGTAAATATTATAGATATCTGTTTTTGTTTGCTTTTCTCACTTAACAGTACATCCTAGAAATTACTCCATATCATCTCAGAAAGGTCATCTCCATTATTTCTTTTTAACTACAGCATAATAATCCACTGTGTAGATCTACCAGAGTTCAAGTCCCACATATAGGCATTTAAGTTGTTTACTTTATTTTGCAATTAAAAATAATGTTGTGAGGCACCTGGCTGGCTCAGTGGAGCTTGCTACTCTTGATCTTGGGATTGTGAATTCGAGCCCCACATTGGGTGTAGAGATTATAAATAAATAAACTTTAAAATAATAACAATAACGCTGGAATGAGTAACTTTGTTTACATGTATTTTTGTACTGCTGGAGATAAAGCCTTAGGATAATTTCCAGAAGCAGAAATGCTGGTTTGAAAGGTTAAGTGCATATGGAGATTGTTAGGTATTGCCAACTTGCCCTCCAGAACAGTTCTCTCAAATTTGCATTCCTAGCAGCAATGTATGAAAATGTCCGTTTCCCCATAGCCTCCTTAACAGAATGTATCATATTTTAAAATTTTTGGCACTGTGATAAGTACAAAATGGTAGCTAGGTATTATTTTAATTTAGATTACTCTAATTACGAGAGACTTTAAACCTTTTAATGTTTGAGGGCCATTTTTTCTTTTTTAAGATTGCATTTATTTATTTGACACACAGAGAGAGAGAGCACAAACGGGGAGCGGCAGGCAGAGGGAGATGAAGAAGCAGGCTTCCCGCTGAGCAAGGAGCCCAGTGTGAAGCTTGATCCCAGGACCTTGGGATCATGACACGAGCCGAAGGCAGCCGCTAAACTGACTGAGGCACCCAGGCACCCCGAGGGCCATTTTTGTATCTTTCTTTGTCAATTTCTATTCATGTCATTTTATTTGTCTACTGAATTTCTGGTCCTTTGTCCCTCAATTCTTTTTCTCATTGTATATATTTATTGAGACACAATTTAAAAATTTTCTCCAGCTTTCCTGAGATACAGTTGTCACACAACATTGTGCAAGAGTAAGGTGTACAATGTGTTGATATGATACATTTATATATTGCAGAATGATTATCACGATGGCATTAGCTGACACCTCCAACCTGTCACATGATTGTTTTTTGTGGTGTACATAATATAGTATATTACAGTTCTGTGTCTTTGGATGAATTTATACATGCAGGTTACTGCCATCCGAATTACAACATGAAATATCCCCATTGCAATAAGTTTATTTAGCACCTCTTTCCACTCAATTCCACCACACGGGTACTTCTGTGTCTTTTTTCTTTCACAGAGCATGTTTTTTAAATGCATCCATGTTGTGTAGATCTCATATCTGCCTCTTGTATGGGAATCATTGCAAATCATTACAATGTGTGATCTTTTGTGTCTGGCTTCTCTCATTAAGTTCTTTATGGAGATGAAGAACAAAAAGAATTGGCAGTGAAGCTTGTGGAAAGAATTTGAGATTCTATAGTGGGACAAAGGGAGATGTTAGGATCTTGGCAGCAGCCAAAATGGACTATTTTGTAGCCAACAGAATGGTCTGGGAGAGTCTTAAAATTGGAGCATATGCTAAGTTGGAAGGAAGGTATCAGACGATCTGTATAAAGCAGGGAAGCAGGGTAGGCACCATCAGGGGATGCTGGAAGTGCATCTGTATTTCTCTTGGAAGAGCTGGTCTTAACTTCCATCCCAGCTAATTGCTGTTGTTTGGCTTTCCTGAGTTTTGCTCAATGGTTCTTGAACCAAACCTGCAGTACTGTGGGATGTATCTCCAGTTTTGAGGCCATTTCTTTTTGAAAGAGGTGCTAAATAAACTTACTGCCATGGGGAGCAGGGTATGGGTTCTTCCTGGACAAGAATTCCAAATCTGCCAATTGTTTCTCAGTGAACATTATTGTTTCCTTTGTGAATGCTTCTGGTGCTTTCCTTTAAATCTGCATTTGCTGCTGCAGGCTCAGAAGTTCCAAGGGTAGTTGGTGATGACTAAAAGCCCTCTCGAAAGTTACTTTAGGAAGGTCTCCTGCGCCTGATATCCTGAGATCAAACTATGTCCCCAATCTCTGGTCCTGTGTCAAAAGCGTCCTTCAATTTTTAAGAGTTTTCACTATATTAGAGATAATAGCCCTTTGACTGTGATATACAATGTAAATAATTTTTCCCACTTCATCAGTTATCTTTTGTCATGAAAAAATTTATTTGTATTTAGTCAAATTTACTAATGTTTTCTTTCATTGCCTCTGGGTCACACATAGAAACTTTTCCTATGCAAAGGTTAAATAAGAATGTAAGAGCTTTCTTCTAGTCTTTGTATGGTTTCATTTTTTACATTGAGAACCCTAATACGTTCAGAGTACATGTGTGAGAAACATCTAATTTTATCTTTTTCCAAAGGCTACCTAGTTGTTCCAGCACGATTTATTAAAAAGTGCATTAGTCTACTCTACTGTTCTATTTGCCTATTCATGTGCCAGTTAATACATTGTTTTAATTATTGAGATTTATAATGTATTTTAATGTTTGATGGTGCTTTTTCAGTGTTTCTCCAGCAATTCTTACACACTTTTTTCTTGAGGTTAGTATCAACTTTTTTTTTTTTTTAAAGATTTTATTTATTTATTTGACAGAGAGAAACACAGTGAGAGAGGGAACCTAAGCAGGGGGAGTGGGAGAGGGAGAAGCAGGCCTCCCGCAGAGCAGGGAGCCTGATATGGGGCTCGATCCCAGGACCCTGGGATCATGACCTAAGCCAAAGGCAGACGCTTAATGACTGAGCCACCCAGGAGCCCCTAGTATCAACTTTTCTAAATTCAGAAAATATCCTGTTCATTTTTCTATTAGGATTGCACACAATTTATAAGGCAATTAAGTAAAATGCAAACAACTGGTGAGTAACTGAGTAAAGGGTATATGGACACTCCTCACACAATTCCTAAAACTTTCAAATTTGAAATTATATCAAAATAAAATGTTATCAAAACCAAATTAAGAGTGCTTATACATCTTTCTCTTGCATCATTCATTTTTTTCCAATGCCTGTGATTATTCAGTAACATCCAAATATTTATAGATTCTCCAACAAACATTAACTCTACCATTTCATTTTAATTTCCTCTATTATCACCTATCAATTTGCTGTCAGATCTCTACTGCTCTAAGTAAGAAAACTGCTTTCCTTTCTCAAAGATGTTTCCCTCCATTTTTTTGGACAAGGAACATCATACAACAACTGTCTTGTGAATTCTGATCAAAATCTAGAAAAACAGTTGATTGACAAGAGTACTCATCAACATGATCTTAATTCCAAGAGGTCAGTTTTCTTTCTGAACACTGTGAAGGTACCTAGCTCTCACAGCTCCTCTTTAGAGGGCAGGGAGACAAAATATTCTTGCCATCTCCTATGCTGGAGGCACTCACGTACCTTTGGTAGTTCCTTTTTCACAATGCTGAGCCATACTTTCCTGCGACGAGCATTAAGCTGCTCAATGGATAAGTGCTTCTTCTTGGTGCCAGGAGGAGGTGCATCATGAGAGAACTTGGCAAAGACTTTGGTCTGATGGTGGTGGCAACGAGGAGATTCTTCAGAGGAAAGTTCTTCATCCCTTCGCCTTTTTTTCTTCACTTTTTTCAACTTGGCTGCAAAGGAAACAGACACTGAGAACCTTGCATTTCTGCCCTTCCAGAGAAGATTGCCACAACCAACCTCATCACTTTAAGACAATTCAAGGTTCTTTCCTCATTCCACCTAAGGCTGGCAATGTTTATCTCTTTATCTATTCAGGCCTATGAATACTCCAGGAGGAAGATTTCACTATCTTGGATACTCCTTATGTTTACATGAAAGAGAAACGCAGAATAAGATCTAAAAACTGAATTTCTGTTGAACTCAACAACAGGAAGGGAGACGTACAAAGTACCATGAACTTAAATAATGGCCAGGAGGAAGGAAACATTTCTACTTGGTGGCAATGTTAAGGTGATTAAAGAGAAATAACAAGGAAAGAAAAAAATGCGCCGATAGGACATTACGACCTGTGAAGAGAAAATCATACATGGAATATAAAACTAATTTGGGGTGAGAGTTTGGAAGAGATAAACTAGTGGATGTGGGAGAAAGGGAAGAAGGCTGAAAAGAATTTCTGAGTAGAGTTCATACCTTCAGGGGAATAAAATCTGCCTTGTACAGATAGCTTAAAACTTTCCCTTCCTACTTCCTTCCTGATTTCCAGCTGCTTAGAGCTCAGTAAGGGAGGAAAACACACTTCCTGGCAAACATGCAAACAAACACTACACAAGATTATCAAGAGGTGATCTATTTAAAAGTTCCACATACAGCAACAATGATGACTTATTCCCAACACTTCAGGTTGCTCTTCATACTTCCCTGTGCATAACCGACTTCTGCCTCTCCCAGAGCATTATCAACACTTGGAAGAGTGTGTAGAAGAAAAAAGGAATAAACTAATTAGCTTAAACCTTTGGCTAGGAATCCATAGTACTTATGTCTTTATAATTCTAGAAAAGGTCATTACCCAAATACGAAATAAGGTTAACAATACTTATTACCTAGATAGGGGAGACTAGGGTTTTTCAGAAAAAGCAAGTTTCTACTACATGGATTATGTTCAAAGTCCAAATGTACCAACAGGCTACACACAACCCTGAAACTAAGAATGAGTAAATATGGAAGGCAGGTTGGTAAGCTCACCTTTAAGCTTCTTTTCCTCCTTGAATTTCTTTTTTTTGGGTCCAAGTAGGTGCCGTTGTTGCTCATAGAAAGGGTCGTATGTGGAAAGCAGGCCTGCACTGTAGTATTGGTACTGCTGCAACTGAAGGAGGCAAAGACAGGGAGGCTTACAAGGGCTGGTCTGAGTTCTAAGCCTGCCTTCAAGTCATCTTTACTACAAAACCTTGAGCCAGAGAAAACCCAGAGCTCCTAAATTTGTTCTTCCCACAAGAAGACCAATAAAGATTTAATACCTCAAAGTGAATTATTTCCTTACTTCAAAACAAAACGGGTTCATCAGCTATGTACATGGCAAGTTGCTGAAAATAAGAAAGAAAAACACTGCATGCTTCTGAATTTCCACCAGACTATTTGCTTGGAACTAACACATATTCGAGTGATGCAATGAACTGCAGAAAGGGCTCCACATGGAAGTCATCAACAAGAAATAAACCATATTTCTATTACCAATAGGTCCTCAGATTTAGTAAGGTTTTGATACGTGTTATTCTGGGTTTTGGTCTTCTATCTGGTTCAGAGAGTCACTAGCCATCCCAATTCTCCTATCTTTCAAGTCTTTTCACTTTTTATATCTCCCACTAATAGAGGTTGACAATATAATGGCTAATGCCTACATTGCCAGAATTCTAACATATAAATAATCGATTTTTTTTTTCTGTCCAGGGAGAGATTCTTTCAAGCACTGCATTTAAATTGACCCCCAAGGCTCATATTAATTTTGTTTCACTTATTACTAATGGATAAATATCAATATAAACTTAAAACAGTCCACTGTTGAATCTCTTTCCTAGATTGCAGCCAGTCCAAGAACTGAAACTAGGTCAGAAAAGTGACACGGAGAACTATCACGAGGTCCCCTGTCAATGGTCAAAATTAAGTGAGCATTCACTGAGCTATATAGTTAAAATCTATGAACTTTCCCATATATATGTTTTACTTCAATTTAAAAAAAGCCAAGTATTGCAATCCCTACCAAAATATCAACAGCATTTTTCAAAGAAATAAAAGAAATAACACTAAAATTTGTATGGAACCACAAAAGTCCCCAAGTAGCCAAAGCAATCTTGAGGAAAAAAAACAAAGCTGAAAGTATCACAATTCCAGATTTCAAGATACACTACAAAGCTGTAGTGATCAAAACAGTATACAGTGCTGGCACAGAAACAGACACATTGATCAGTGGAACAGAGCAGAGAACCCAGAAATAAGAGGCGCCTGGCTGGCTCAGTTGGTAGAGCATGTGACTCTTGATTTCAGTGTCATAAGTTCAAGTCCCATGTTGGGCATAGAGCTTACTTAAAAAAAAAGAAAAAAAAAATTTCCAACAACACAGACTAGAGAACTCAGAAGTAAACCCATGCTTATACAGCCAATTAATCTATGTCAAAGGAGGCAAGAATATAAAATGGGGAAAAGACAGCCTGCTCAATAAATGGTGCTGGGAAAACTGGACAGTCACATGCACAAGAATAAAACTGGACCACTTTCTACCACCATGAACAAAAATAAACTCAAATTGGATTAAAAACCTAAATTTGAGACCTAAAATCATAAAAATCTTAGAAGAGAACAGAGACAGTAATTTCTCTGACATCAGCCAAAGCAACATTTTTCTAGATATGTCTCCTAAGGGAAACAAAAGCAAAAATAAACTATTGGACTACTTCAAAATAAAAAGCTTTTGCACAGTGAGAGAAACCATCAACAAAACAAAAAGGCAACCTACTGAATGGGAGAAGATATTTGCAAATTATATATCCAATAAGGGGTTACTATCCAAAATATGTAAAGAACTTGTACAACTCAACACCAAAAAAACAGACAATATGATTAAAAAAATAGGCAAAGGACCTAAACAGACATTTTCCCAAAGAAGACGTACAGATGGCCAACAGACATATGAAAAGATGCTCAACATCACTAATCATCAGGAAAATGCAAATCAACTACAACAAGAAATCACCTTACACCTGTCAGAATGGTTAGTATCAAAAACACAAGAAATAACAGGTGTTGGTAAGGATGGAGAGAAAAAGGAATCCTCGTGCACTGTTGGTGGGAATGCAAATTGGTAGAGCCACTCTCAAAAACAGTATGGCGGTTCCTCAAAAAATTAAAAGTGGAAATATCATATCTAGTAATTCCACTACTGGGTATTTACCCAAAGAAAATAAAAAAACTAATTCAAAAGAGATACGTGTGGGGCGCCTGGGTGGCTCAGTCGGTTAGGTGGCTGCCTTTCGCTCAGGTCATGACCTCAGGGTCCTGGGATCGAGACCCACATCGGGCTCCTTGCTCGGCAGGGAGCCTGCTTCTCTCTCTGCCTGTCGCTCCCCCTGTTTGTGCTTTCCCTCTCTCTCTGACAAATAAATAAAATGTTAAAAAAAGAGAGAGAGAGAGATCCGTGCACTCATGTTTACCACAGCATTATTTACAATAGCCAAAATACAGAAGCAACCTAAGTGTCCACTGACTGGTGAATGGATAAAAATGTGGCACGCGTGCACGCACACACACGAACATACGTATGCGTGTATATGAGCTCCTGCCATTTGTGACAACATCGATGGATGTACAGGGTATTATGCTCAGTGATGTAAGTCAGATTGAAAGACAAATACATGATTTCACTCACATGTGGAATCTAAAAAACAAACAAAAAGCAAAATCAGACCTGAAGAGAGAACAAACTGATGGTTGTCAAGAGGGGAGGAGGGTGATGGGGGTTGGGCAAAATGGGAGACAGGGAGTGGGAGATACAGGCTTCCAGTTATGGAATGAATAAACCATGGGAATAAAAGGCCTAGCACAAGGGGTACAGTCAATGATATTATAACAGTGTTGTATGGTGACAGATGGTAGCTACACTTGTGAGCATAATATAATGTATAGAGATGTTAAATCACTTATGTTGCGTAAGTGAAACTAATATTTTATGTCAACTACACTAAAAAAAGAAAGACCAAATATTTCAAGCACCAAATGCCTAGCACTGTACTTTAAGAAGGAACTCTAAGTCAAAACAGTCATATATCTTACAATTATTACTTCTGCAGGTTTATAAACTTCACCATATATACATATCTATATAACTATATAGGTATTTTTTTTTCCTAAAGAGAGAGCTCGACTGGGGGTTGGGGGGTGAGGGGGTGGACAGAGGGAGAGGGAGAGACAGAATCAAGCAGGCTCCACACCCAGTGCAGAGCCTGACCCAGGGCTCGATCTCATAACCCTGAGATCATAACCTGAGCCAAAATTAAAAGTGAGATGCTTAACCAACTGAGCCAGCCAGGCACCCCTAACCTTTAGCATATTATTCAAAGCTTTCTGAACTAACTTTGGATGTTAACCAATTGTTAGAAAGTGTTTAGGTCTTCAAATATGCTATTGCTCATCATGTTCAAAGCACCACACTTCTGACAAAAATCATAAGGCTTTGGTAACAGTATTCAAATAGTTGTCACTTAAAACTATCATCAATCTAATGTTAGTATGTAAAGAAAAGGGGTTTTTTCAAGATAGGGACACTTCCAAAGAGCAAGTGCATTAAAAAAGGAACCCATAGAATTCAAAATGGCACAGCCACTTTGGAAAACAGCTTGACAGTTCCTCAAAAAGGATAAGCACAGAGTTTTCACATGACTCAGTGATTCCTCTTCTAGGTATATACAAAAGAAATGAAAACAAATGCCCACACCGAAAATTTGTACACAGATCTTCATGGCAGCATTATTCATAACAGCCAAAAGTGGAAACAACACACTATTCATAGCAATCATTTGTAAAAGCCAAAAAGTAGAAACAATCCAATTAATTCATTAAGTGATACATGGATAGTAAAATGCAGTATGTCCGCACAATGGCATATTATTTGATAACAAAAAGGAATAAAGTACTGATACATGCTAAAACGTGAATGAACCTTGAAAACATGCTGAGTGAGAAGACGGACATAAAGGGCCACATGTTCTATTTGCATAAAATGTCTAGAACAGGCACATTTATAGTGCTAAGTGGCTTCCTGGGGCTGAGGGGGAATAGAGAAAATGAAAGACAACAGCTAAGGGGAGTGGGGTTTCTTTTTAGAGAAAACATTCTGGAATCATATAGTGATGATAGTTATACATCTCTATGAATATACTAAAAACCACTGAATTGTATACTTTAAAAGGCTATTTTTGGTATGTGAAATATATTTCAATAAAGCTTGTATTAGAGGGGCGCCTGGGTGGCTCAGTCATTAAGCGTCTGCTTTCGGCTCAGGTCATGATCCCAGGGTCCTGGGATCGAGCCCCGCATCGGGCTCCCTGCTCGGCTGGAAGCCTGCTTCTCCCTCTCCCGCTCCCCCTGCTTGTGTTCCTGCTCTTGCTGTGTCTCTCTGTCAAATAAATAAAATCTTTAAAAAAAAAAAAAAAGCTTGTATTAGAACGACCACCACCACCATCTAAATATAAATGTAAAATGACATGTCTTCACTGAATGTTAACAACAGGCTAAATTAAATACCCAACACAAAGGTCTGAGATTTCCCCTGAAACTCTCTCTTACCTCCTTATCTTTGCTATACTTATTCTGGTGAAGTTTCTTATACTTGTGCAGCCGCAACATGTTATGAAGTTCTTCTCTGCTGAGGTGGAGTTCTTCCTCTTCTTCTTCTTCTTCTTCATTGTCTTCACTCTGAGAATCTGCCTCACTGGACTCATCACTTAGCAGAATGCTCTGCAAACAGGAGGAAATGGGAATGGAATCTGTTGCTATGGAGCAAGGCCTTCTCTAACCCAAGCATCTTTTCCCAACACAATGACAAAAACAGCTGGAAGACAGTAACTCCAGTTTCCCAATTCATGTGCAAAAGAAAAGGATACCAACTGAACCTAGTGGGCATTCAAGAGCACTACCATATGGAAATGCTATAAAAGGCAACAAAGCTAGATTTCACTAAGTACTTAGAACTATACGTAGGCTATTTTAACTGTCAAATATCAAGGCAAAAAACTAAAAACAAAAACAAAACCACAACCTATAGGGTATAAAGGAATATACAAAGCCGGCCGTGATAGCTAACAAAGGAGAAACAACCCAAAAAATCATTAGATTTTGTTATTATCCAGATAATGAAGTATTATTTAGCGATAAAAAGGAATGGAGTACTGATACATGCCACAACATGAATGAACCTTGAAAACTATGCTAAGTGAAAGAAGCCAGGCACAAAAGACCACATATTATATGATTCCATTTATATAAAAAGTCCAGAATAGGCAAATCCGTAGGGAAAGAAAACAGATTAGTGGCTGCCAGGGGCGATGGGAAGTGACTGCTTAATAATCACAGAGTTTCATTTTGGAGTGATAAAAATGTTCTAGAATTAGTGGTGATGGCTGCACAGAACTTTACTACAATACACACTTTACAAGGGTAGATTTTATGGCATGTGAATTGTATCTCAATTTTTAAGAATGTGATGGCTAAACAAAGATTTCTGCATTGCCAACAGCTTAAAGGCCTTTTATACACAAACCTTTTAAAGGACCTCATGATTATAATGAAAGAATGCCTTTATATTACTTTGAGCTCTTCACAAGAAAAGAAAGCAATAGAGAAATAATTAATTTCAACAGAAGAAATGCTACCCTTAACTCAGTTGGGCCAATGACAGTAATCTTGTAAGAGTGTAAAGAGTCTACCATTTCCCTGCCTATAAACACTCACAGAAAATACAGAAACACTCTATATTGCCTATAAACACTCACAGAAATTTACCAGAATAAAATGCAAATTCTTTAAACATGGGGTACAAGGCCCTACACAATCGGGCTCCCTAACCCCATCTTCTACCATACCCTCTCTTTCATTGTACTCCAGCTATACTAGCCTTCTTTTCCTCCAAACATACTGAGTTGCTTCCTTTCTCAGGAATTTTAGTTATATTCCTTCTGATTGAAATGCTCTTATCTTAAACATTCCCATAGTTCTGATCATTCAGAAATCAGCTAAATGTTACCTCTTTAAAGACGCCATTTTTCTTTATTTGTTTACAGACTTACTCACTGCCTCCCCCCATTTGAATGTAAGCTCTACGTGCAGGAACCCTGTCTGTCTACAATAGTATCTGGCAGGTAGGACGTACTCAATCAACATCCCAACAACTCAAGTAGTAATGAAAATGACATTAATAATCCTGATTATAATGTGAGGCAGGGAGGGCAAGGATCTTATCTATTTTTTTACTCCTTTGCTCTGCACAGTGCTTTATACTTAAAAATGTTTGCTAAAATGAATTTCACTGACGCCTCTAGATTTTCCTCTGTAATCTCTTAAAAAAAAAAAAAACCCACAGTAGAAAACTCATGTCTAGAAAAATCTCTGCTAATGTGTCAGAATTAGTCAATAATTTTCCCTTCCATTTGTAATTTTAGTAGGTTATTTGAATTATAAACATTTGCCTTATCTCTTACCTTTAGCCACTTTCTGCTTTTCTTCAACTTAGAGAAGTTATATAAATTCCCTTTGTCAGATTTTGATTCTGTGTAAAGAAACATAAAGAACAACAAAAATGAAAGGAAGACTGCCCCAAGAGAACTGATAGTCCAAAGAGGGATCTCACGCCACACTGACCTGACTGTAGAACTCCATTCAGCGAGTATGTGTTTAACATTCCAGAGTTGCCTGCTCCAGAAGTTTCTCCAAGCAATGAATTTGGAGGTTCTTCCTTAACTTGTATTAAGGGATCCCCAGACTGGGGCAATAAAGGATTACTGTCATCCAGTCCATCTTCACTCTCATCACTATAAATTGAAAAATAAATCTATAATCACAGCTGACCCAGCAAAATACTATAATTTATAGTCAACAGACAGAAGAAATTGATCCTTTAAATAGACTGTGTTCTATTGAAAGAAGGAAGAAAAAACTACCAAATGTACCACAAATTGTAAAATACCTTACCCCTAAAACCAGAGACAATGGGAATCAGAAAGTGGTCAAACATTATATTGGGGGGGGTGCCTGGGTGGCTCAGTCATTAAGTGTCTGCTTTCGGCTCAGGTCATGATCCCAGGGTCCTGGGATTGGGCCCCTCATTGGGCTCCCTGCTCAGTGGGAAGCCTGCTTCTCCATCTCCCACTCCCCCTGCTTGTGTTCTCTCTCTCACTGTCTCTCTCTTTAAAAAATCTTTAAAAAAAAAACACAAAAAATATTATATTGGGAATATGTAATCACATACCTAGAAATATTCCTGTTGAAGATGGCTGATGTTTGTCGCAAGAAATGGTCCAACCGGAGGGCCCTCTCCAAGTATTGAAGATAGAGGGGCTTTGCCAGCTCAGTGCAGCCGCCATCGTCCCCGGCTCCCAACTCCGAGGCCATAGAACAAATCTGTCTTCATGCACAAGGGTCTCCGACTTCTCGGCTGCAGAATGAAGATTAAGCAGTGAAAGACAGAATACTATTTATTCTCCCTTTATTTTGCCTCCTTGCTATCAATGTGAAGAGAAATCAGACCTTCTAGAACACAGGACAAAAAGACAGCAGTCTATAGAAAGATCACAGTAAAATTCTTGTTAGGCATTTTTTCCTAATGCAAAGGCAGAAGTTTATAAGAATGAGGAGAACATCAAAATACAGAAATACTGTCATATGTCACAACAAAAATTCATATTATACTTTTTTGAAAGAGTACCTTAAAATTTACACCCACTTACCTTTTGTCCTACAATTAACAATTACTCACCATTATCTAAATCTACACCACAAGCTCTTTTGTACACCTCATAGAGGAACACTTGTCAGCATTACCTTCAAAACAGCTGCTTCCTTTTTCATTTTGTTTACATTTGTACATATTTATGAGATATTCCACTTACAAGGGAAGAGAGCTACTGTCAGAGTATTTTACACACTTGTAAACCTTCTTTAAAGTGTAAAATATAGAAATTATTTAGAAAACTGGAGCAGAGTGTAAGTAAGAGTGAGAAACAAAGGTATATAGGTGAGCATTTTCTTTGCTACCTTATGGTGTTAAAGGAAATCATAACACCTTTGAGTTGTCTTCTCTTTTTATTATAATTTTTTAAGTTTTCTATATAATCTTTCTTCTTAAGGACATATTAAAAAATTCTCCTCCAATTGATCTACAGAGTGAACATAATCTCCCCAGAAGGCTTCTTTTCTTTTTCAGAAACTGACAAGCTAATTCTTAAATTTATATGGAAATGCAAAAAGAACAAAATAGCCAAAATAATTTTGAAAAAGAAAAAGGTTCAGGGTGCCAGGGTGGCTCAGTCGGTTAAGTATCTGCCTTCAGATGAGGTCATAATCCCGGGGTCCTGGGATCAAGCCTCGAGCCAGGCTCTCTGCTCAGTGGGGAGCATGCTTCTCCCTCTCCCTTTGACCCCCGTTCGTGCTCTCTCTCTCAAATAAATCTTTTAAAAAAATAGAAGAGGGTTGAATAACTTACACTTCCTGATTTTATTTATTTTTTTTTAAGATTTTATTTATTTATTTGATAGAGAGAGACAAGCAAGAGAGGGAACACAAGCAGGGGGAGTGGGAGAGGGAGAGGCAGGCTTCCCACTGAGCAGGAAGCCCGATGTGGGGTCCTTCCCAGGACCATGGGATCATGACCTGAGCCAAAGGGAGACGCTTAATGACTGAGCCATCCAGGTGCCCTCACTTCCTGATTTCAAAACATATTATAAAGCCACAGTAATCAGGCCAATGTGATAGTGGCATAAGGATAATCACATAGACCAATAAAACAGACCTGAAAATCCAGAAATAAACCCTTACAGGGGTGCCTGGCTGGCTCAGTTGGTAGAGCATTCAACTCTTGATCTCAGGGTCTTGAGTTCAAGTCCCACACTGGGCACAGAGCTGCCTTTAAAAGAAGAAAGAAAATAAAAAAGAATAGTTGGGGTTTAAAAAGAAAAACAAAATACAGGGGTTCCTGGGTTGCTCAGTTGGTTAAACATCTGACACCTGATTTCGGCTCAGGTCATGATCTCAAGTCATCAGGTCAAGCCCCATGTCAGACTCTGTGTTCAGCGCAGTCTGCTTGAGATTCTCTCTTTCCCTCTCTCCCTCTGCTTCCCCACCCCAGTTCGTGCTTGCACACTCTCACCCTAAAATAAATAAATCTTCAAAAACAAACAAAATATTTAAAAAATAAAAGCAGGGGCACCTGGGTGGCTCAGTCGGTTAAGCGTCTGCCTTCGGCTCAGGTCATGATCCCAGGGTCCTGGGGTCGAGACCCACATCGGGCTCCCTGCTCAGCGGGAAGCCTGCTTCTCCCTCTCCCACTACCCCCTGCTTGTGTTCCCTCTCTCGCTGTGTCTCTCTCTGTCAAATAAATAAATAAAAAATCTTTAAAAAAAAATAAATAAAAAAAAAAAGCAAAAAACCCTTACACGTATGGTCAATTTTCAATGAAGGTGCCAAGGCAATTCAATGGGCGAAAAGACAGTCTTTTCAGCAAACTGTGCTGGACAACTGGATATCCACATACAAAAAGATTAATTTAAACCTTTAAAAAAAACCTTACCTCATGCATAAAAATTAACTCAAAATGGATCAGGGACTTAAGTGTAAAACCCCAAAATGTAAAACTTCTACAAGAAAACATAGGGGAAATCTTCATGATCTTGATTAAGCAAAAAGTCTTTGGATATGACATCAAAAGAACAATCCATTAAAAAAAAAAACACATACACACAACTGACAAATTAGGCCATGAAAATTTTAAACTTTTGTACTTTAAGCAATATTATTAAAAAGATGAATACAAGCCACAGACTAGAAGAAAATATCTGCAAGTTGTGTATCTGGATAAAGGACTTGTATACAAATATCTAAAAAAATAAAAAAATCCTGGAGATGAAAAGTATAACATAAAGAATATAGTCAATAATATAACAACAGTAACAGAAGGTGACTATGCTGAGTGGTGAGCATTGAGTAATGTACAGAACTGTCAAATCACTATGTTGTGTACCCCTGAAACTAATATTACATTGTGTATCAACTATACTTCAATTAATATTAAAAAAAATAATAGGGGTGCCTGGGTGGCTCAGTCAGTTAAGTTCAAGTCATGCTTTCAGTTCAAGTCATGATCTCAGGGTCCTGGGATTGAGCCCCGCATCAGGCTCCCTGCTCAACAGTGAGTCTGCTTCTCCCTCTCCCTCTGTGCCTCCTCCCCACCCCCACTTGTCTCTCAAATAAATAAAATCTTTCATAATAATAATAAAATGATACCCAACTTTTCTATCTATCCTCTAAAAAAGACCTGCCTCCTCTACTTCAGAGAATCTTTTAGGGATAAAATGAAGTATATGTGAAAGGGCTTTATAAGAAATGCCAGAGTATTTTCAAACAGTGTATGCTCACATATTCAGAGTTGGGAGGGGTCATAGAGATTACCTAGTCCAACTGGGTTGTATTACAGATGAAGAAACTAAAAACCAGGGAGCCTGGGTGGCTCAGTTGGTTAAGCGAGGGGTCATGGTCATGATCCTGAAGTCCCAGGATTGAGTCTGCATGGGGCTTCCTGCTCAGCAGGGAGTTGGCTTCTCTGTCTGACCCTCCCCCCCCCATGCTCTCTCTCTCTCTCATTCTCTCTCTCTCAAATAAAATCTTTAAAACAAAATTAAAAAAAAAGAAACTAAAAACCAGAAATATTAAATAACTTGTTCATATTCATTGAGCTCTTTTGCAGAGCCAGGTTTCCTAGTTCCTAAACCAGTGCTTTTTCAATCTCAGCAAACTGTCTCCCTAGACAGGATCTACCTCTTAAATTGCTCGAGTTTATGCTTTGATGTTGTGAAGAATACAATCCCAAGAGCCAGATTTTTTTTTTTAAGATTTTATTTATTTGACAGAGAGACACAGCGAGAGAGGGAACACAAGCAGGTGGAGTGGGAGAGGGAAAAGCAGGCCTCTCGCCGAGCAGGGAGCCCGATGCGGGGCTCGATCCCAGGACCCTGGGATCATGACCTGAGCTGAAGGCAGACGCTTAATGACTGAGCCACCCAGGCAATCAAGAGCCAAATATTTTTAAAGCACCAATTCTGCAGAGTAAAGATCACTTAGAATTTTTTTTGCATCCTTTGAAATATCTGTCGAGAAACCATTCTTGCTAATTGAGGTGCTGGGTTTTATAAAAGCATCAACAACTAGGATTTACGTTAAGCTAAACAGATTAGTCCTTAGTTCAAGGTCAATAAATGGCCAATATAAGCTGTCAATAATCACTATTTTTTAACTGACTTCATTACAAAGACACTACAATAGATTAATAGTGGAATAGTCCTGCCTAAAATTCAATTCAATATTGATGTAAAAATTTAGTCCTGGAATTATTGAAGAGGATACTGGCATAATTTTTAGATTCAGTAGGCAACACATTAATTTGTTTATAGTGTTACATGTTAGAAAAAAACCCTTTTGGGGGCACCTGGGTGGCTCAGTCGGTTAAGAAGCTGACTCTTGATTTCGGCTCGGGTGATATCTCAGGTCCTGGGACTGAGCTGCAAGTCAGGCTCCCTGCTCAGCGAGAAGCCTGCTTCTTCCTCTCCCACTCCCCTGCTTGTGTTCCCTCTCGCTCGCTCTCTCTGTCAAATAAATAAAATCTTAAAAAAAAAAAAAAGAGCAAAACAATCCAAACGTTTATCAACTGGTGAATGGATAAACAAAAATGTATATCCACACAACAGAATATTATTAGCAATAAAAAGCAAAAAAGTTGATACATGCAACATGAATGGATCTCAAAAACATTGTGCTAAGTTAAAAAAAAAAAAATAGCCAGACTCAAAAAAACACATATTGTATGATTCCATTTATATGAAATATCCAGAAAAGGAAATCTATAGTCAGGAAGTAGATTAGTGGTTGGCTGGGTGTACAAATGGGGACTGACTGTAAGTGGATACGAGATATCTTTTTTAGGGAAGCTGGAAATGTTCTAAATGCACACTGTATTGATGGTTGTACAATTCTGTAAGTTTGTTAAAAATCACTGAATTGTACATATGAGTGAGGTAAATTTCATGAATCTAAAACAGCAGGCTTTAGTAACACAGTTAAAGAGAAAAGAATGTTAAAGATTTTTTAAGACTTCAACAGGTTCTACTTTTTAGTGTGAGACCTAACATGCACCTGTTCCAAAAGATTTCAAAGAAACACAGTTTTAAAAACACAACAAAATTCTCTAAGAGAATACATTTGATTCATCTGGATATACATACATAGAAATTAAAGCATATAAAATTGCTGCTTGGCTCTCTCCTAAATGTTTCATTAAAAAATAATTGATCTCATGTACTTATTTTGGCTGATAATGAAAATGGTCCTAATTAAGAAGGTATGAAGATATGACTACAAAGTAATACTGGGTGATTCAAAAAGAATTATTT